GAAAATCCCCAGCATTTTTGACCAGGCACCTCCCAGCTTTGGCGGCGTCTTCTTGGGACTTCCACCCTGGTTGGTGCCGGTCCCCAGAGTTGGCCGCGAGGTGATTTTAACCTCTGTTGATGAGTTGTTGGGCTATTAGAACTGAGGTTTTTTGGCATAGTGTATACTATGGTATACTATGGTATACTATGGTATACTATGGTATAATGATGGTTAAATCATGATGGGATTACTATGGTAAAATGATTGCATTTGATGATGGGTGTTTTTCTGATGCGCATGAGAGACACTATAGGCATAGTGTATAACATCATACAATAATGATATGGGTATGGGTCAAAACCTACTAATCATGTGGTATAAGGGATGACCATCAACCTTGAGGTTCACTGGGGGTACAGGGTTTTGACCCACATCCATATATGATGAGTGATGGGTTTGCCATGGTTTCTGATATAATCCTCTATGTTACCCTCTGGTAAACTAACAGTTTGCTATTGAAAATGACCATTTAGAAATCGTGGATTTTCCCATTGAAAACGATGATTTTCCATAGTTATGCAATAACTTACTGGTGCTAAACGTAGGGAATGGATGGGTTGCTGGGGGTTGCTGGGGGTTGCTGGGATGATTATTGATAGTTAGCCAGTGGATCATTCCCGAAAATTCCCTGCGTTTAGCAGCAGTAAGTTTAATATATATGTTAACCTTCAACATATAAAACTGAGCTATTTTTACATAGGTATCGTTATTCTGAGGTATTATTAGAGGTAGAATTCACAATTAGTGCAATAATAGAGTCATTATTTATGATTACTACACTAATGTACACCTCTATTAGTATTTTTATTATTATTACAACTGAGGTGTTAATAACATCATAAATAAATCTATATTAGGTATTAACCTTCAACAACATCATTAACCTTAGTATTAACCTTCAATAGTTTTTTTTTTCGGTAATAAGCCACAATATGCCAGTAACGATTAATACTAACTGGCTTAGTGGTGATTGTGAACTAATCCATTTCATAGGAAGATTTACTAATCAAGCAGTATAAGGAGATGGGAAAACGGAGTATTTTTCATGGCCCAGCTAAGTTGGTATATGACTTCAGTAACTAGGGAAGTAGGGTTTATGGTAGATATTTGTAGATATATCGGACTACTTCATGGATTTTGTAATGAGAATCTAGACTACTTCATGTTATTCTTGGTTGCTTATATCACATCATCAATGGGTTGTATAAACCATCCCCAAATGGTATAAGTTTATTATTGTGTTTTCCACATTATCTACAAATGCAACAAGCGTTGCCTTTTCATTCTCCGTTTCCCAGTGGTTTGTTGCCACATTTTGGTTGGCAGCACCAGTCTACGAAGATCTGGGCCTCTCTTACAGGGTAATGGGGGAACTCCAAGGAGTGAAACCTGCTGGGGTTGGTAAATCAATAGTATCAACCCCAGATTCAATGCACCTAGGCTACGAATAGGGGGGGTGTCCAAAATAGCGCTTTAAATTGTGTGATATAACTTCCTTCATTTCATGAGGTGCCTACTATGAAATCAACAAACCAGGTAAGTATTAATCCCAGGTCAGATTACAACTAGCCATTCCAAAGCCACTAATAGAAATCAGTTGTCAATTATCAGCTATCAATCAATTGTATATCACAGTCAATTGTCAATCAATAAATCAATCAATCATCAATTAATTGATACTAGACGATTATCAATTGATTGATAGTTTGCTACTATAATCCCTAGACAATCAATCCACCTATTTCCCCACTTTTGTTTGATGTACTTTATAAGGTGCCAAGTCTCCAACTACATGGCTGTGCGCTTGGCATGAGCATGGTCCGGGAGCCAAAAAAAAACTGAGATTCGGGTGAATTTTAGCATCTCACAATAAATAGAGTAATATCTACAGGATGGGGCCCCAGTTTGTGAACGCTAAGTTGGTGCAAATAACTACCATTTCATAACAAGTTGGTGTATGATACGCTTAAATGACTATATTTAGATAGGGTTGTAAACCAAAAAACATTTCACTGGGGGGCCTCATCCTGGATGATGTAGTGGTAGAATGGGATCATTCCACTTTTTTCTGGAAGATTGATTTGAAATGATATATGGATCGGCCTGAACATGGTTTCGATGTTCAATTCATGGCGCCATTTGGGATGGGTCAAAGCCGAAAGTACCATACTGGGGGAATCAACGTTCCTGAACCAGCTATGACTTGGGGTAATTACTGAGGGTGCCGGGGTTTTGACTCATAGTCATTTCTCAATCTGTGGTTCATTTGTTGTTTCCACGTGGCATGTTGAAAGGTGCACGGCGCGAAGCGGTTCTGTCACCATGAGAAAAAAGGGGTTTCGCAACCATTTCTGGTGACAGAATGCTGGCCTTGTAGAAATGCAAAAATATATCTTCCAAAAGCAACTCATATCGATGCTCCTGAAGTCTTTCCTTGTGGGGGGTTGTCACAATCCCATTACCCTCTGGTTATTTAACATAGCCATGGAAAATTGCCCATGGAAATAGATGGTTTACCTATTAAGCATGGTGATTTTCCATGGCTATGTAACAAATAACCAGATGGTATACTATCCAGTATATTGGGGATTCTCACTATATCTTCGTTATGGGAATATTTTTCAAGATGGTTGAAACCACCAATCAGCATTATATATGCCCATTCTGTTCCAAAAATACCCATGAATACAGTTCACACCCATCAAATCCCAGCGTTTTTGTTTGTCCATCATACACTCATTATACCGTACCCTTTGGTAAACTAACATAACTATGGAAAATCACATTTTTTATGGGACAACTCACTATAAATGGCCATGTTCAATAGCTATGTTAGTTTACCAGAGGGTAACATAGTGGATTGTATCAGAAACCATGGCAAACCCATCACTCATCATATATCATTATTGTATGATGTTATACCTTATGCCTATAGTGTCTATAATGCGCATCAGAAATACACCCATCATCAAATGCAATCATTTTACCATAGTAATCCCATCATGATTTAACAATCATTATACCATAGTATACCATAGTATACCATAGTATACCATAGTATACCATAGTATACCATAGTATACCATAGTATACCATAGTATACACTCATCATGTGTTTCATTATTAGTATACTATGGTGTAAATGGTATGAAATCCATATAAAACCAATGAAACTGAATACTATACTGATAATCCATGAAACACATGGTAACACTATCATAAACTGTGTGTCATTTCATTATGAAATTCAGTTAAATCCAATGCCAATATCTTGCAATGGACTCGTCGCTTGCCAGGTTCGATTGTGGCAAGACCAAGACCTGTCGCTTGCCGTGAGATCGTTGGGTTAAGCCAAGTGGAAGAAATGGGCACGTAACCATTGTGAATAGCTTTAATTGGGACACATTTCATGTGTATAATTTCAAAATGTAAGTATGACAACGATTCTGATCTTTCAATAGTTTTTTTGTGGGAAAAAAAGATGTAAGCCATAAAAATCTGGGGGTGAAGTATCAAACATATTTAAACATGATGTTTCAGATGAAAATGAGTTGTATACCCATGACTTGCCCATTCTTAGTTCCACCTGGAACGCACTGGGCTTTTTGTTATTGGTGTTTTCATGTACCAACTCTTGACATTTCTCCCAGAGTTCCTCATTAACCCATAGTATCCATGTATGGTATATATGCTAACATGACTGGGGTATATTGATGGGATCCATGTCACCATATATAGCATACATGGATCCTATGGGTCATAATAACCTTGATGTGGACAAACGATTCCCGACCTGGATGGAAGTTGATGTTTTTTTTTTATGTGTCGAATATTGTCCAACAGTATTGCTGAGTGATTTCCATGTTGACAGACAGAGCCCGTGGCGGTGTGTCAGGCAAGTGAGAAAGGCAGTGAAGGAATATTTGGAGGCTGGCAGATGGTCATGTTGAACAGGAGTTAGTACTGTACCCTCTGGAACCGTAACAGTTTGCTATGGATAATCACCATTTGTTTACTAGGTAAATCATCATGAGTCATCTACAAACGTGCAATTTTCCGTAGAAAACTCTTAAATAACCAGAGGAAAATGGTGCATAAAGATTTCCAAACTGGGTTTGTCTGGACATGAGCTATGCCCTCCGACCATTTCAATGGGGATAGTGATTTTAGTTTAGTCCTTCGGAATTTGGTACCGACAAACCTAAACCTCAAAAAAGGGTACCTATTGGTACCATCCTATCAAAAGTAGCATAAATTGGTGTAAATCACAAATTTTTGAACAAAACCCATATTATGGTGATGTTGAACATGATCTTCCGATGGTGGTTGCTAAGTTACTGGGATTGAAGAACTCTAGTGGATGTTTCCAACTTGGGAAAATCAACAAACCTTGGAGGGTCATGTAGGGTCTAAAGGTTCATCCGTACCAGCAAATGCCCCCACAGTGCTCCCAAGTTTCCATGTCCGTTGGGCCAAGGTGGATGGTTTTGGGGTCCCTCTGATTGGCATGAATTTCACTTGGGCACTGTAGCTACAGTACTGTACCGTAGAGACATGATACATATATATATTTGCATGCACCACTGTATACACACAGATATATGTATACAGATACATTTTGGATATGTTACATGTGCATATGTACATGCATAGATAAGTTTAGACACACCATATATTTGTTAGATTATATTATTTTATATTATTTTTTTATATTTGATTTTATTTGATATTATTTTTTTATTTTTTATTATTTGTTTATATGTTTTGATATGTTTTGATATTTTTATATATATTTTGATATGTTTTCATATTTTGGAACCTGGTTCAGAAATGAACCCTGTAGACATGAACCTTGGGATCACAAATGATGTATATATATATACATATACATATACATATACATATAAAAATGACATGAGTTGGATCTTTGCGAATAGTGAATAACACGACTGGCCCATTGCTCTTTCGTTTTGCCTTTTGATTAAGAGGTTCGTATGGTCAAGAACCAGTTGGCTTGTTCTTCAGCTTGAAACGGTGCACAGTCAGAGGTCAATCAGGAGCAAAGGGGACTGAACTCGCAAAGAAACACAGCACCCTTTGACTGACAGAGCTGCACATATACACATTCATTTATCATTTCCATTCGTTTCTTATATCTTCTAAAACCTAGACATAATGTCATTGCATATTGCTTCATGCCTTCTCAGGTGTTAAACCAGTGTTTGATGTTTGACGATGTAGTTTTTTTGTGGTGCTTGGGAAATTTGGGGTCCGATATGTACAAACTAAGAAATAACTGATGAAGTGGAGTAACTGGCTTGGTCCACCTTGGTGATTCTGCCAGGGAAAAGAGGTGCCTGTCATCCTGTCTTCAGGTTCGGGATTCATGGAACATGTGGAGATTTGTCCCTGATTTCATGGTCAGTTTTTAGTGCTTTCACTCATCTTCCAATGGCAGGGTCTATGTAAAAAAAACATAGAAAAATCAAATTAGATTGGAAGATTTCAAATAGCTCCTCTTCATTGGATATGAAATCGAGAATAAAGCATGGATTAAGAAAATGGGGATTCCTGCAATCCATGTACTTGCTTCGTGATTGTATTTGGATTTCAAAAAATCTTCCATCGGAATGATGATCCCCCAATTAAAAAAGTCTACCCTCTGGTAATTTAACATAGCTATTGAAAATACCCTAATTATAGTAAGTTTTCCCATTAAAAATGGTGATTTTCCATAGTTTTTTGTATGTTTACCAGAGGGTATTCTTGGGGTTTTTAACTAGGTCATCCTGAGTTTCTGGCGCAGATTTCATGTCAAGATCCCGTGATCCGGCAGATGGAATTCTGTGTTTATAAATGGCTTGTGGCACAGCCATTTATACTGATTTGTATCATTTAAGTGTTGGGAATTTTGAATCATTTATATCTAGATCTCTTTACCATTTATCTTGTGTTGTGCGTTGAATCTAGATAAGATGGCGAAGAACGGCTACTGGTAAAGAAACTCAGTGCATGTTATTGAGAGCTGGACGTAGATAATATCGAAAACCCATCCAAAGGAACATCATCTACAAATGGTGATACGTGAATTTATGTGAATTTGCTGGAAGATACTTCCATTCTAACAATTTGTCATCAATACATCCCATCAATGCTTCACGAATCAAAAAGCCACGGCTGAATTCTGTCCCCATCAAATCATTAAGAACTATCCAGAGACGATAGTCATCTGGTTGGTGGTTTGGAACATTTGGATTATTTTTCCATATATTGGGAAGAACGATCCCAACTGACGAGCATATTTTTCAGAGGGGTTCGTGCACCACCAACCAGGGAAACATCTACAGGAAAGCTCGTGACGGAAGGTGTCCCCCATGGGTTTCTGGTGATGTTTTTACCAATCCAGCGAGATAGGCGCTGAGTCAGCTGCCAGGTATGGATGGATCTGCCGTCAAGACCAGGTTTCGAGCTTTGGGAGCAGTAGAATGATAATCTATACTTGGTGGCTCATCCCAGTTAGTAAATGGGATAATAACCCCAGTTATAAGTGGGATAAGTAGGGTTAATCCACCTATAAGTAGGGTTATAAGCCACTTACTAAGTGGGATTAGCCACCAAGTAACTGGTTGGTGCTTTGGAACATGGCTGGATTATTTTCCATAGTTGGGATGATGATCCAATCTGACTAATATTTTTTCAGGGGGGTTGAAACCACCAATTAGATAATTATATATATATATTATATGTATATATATATAACAGCCCCGAGACCTACCTTTTCTGGGAGCTGCAAGATATATTTCAATCTTCTCTGGGTCAGGTGTGGGCCACAGTTGCGCATGTGCACCTAAGGTGTATGTATATTGTTGAAAAGGTAGGCCTTGGGGGGGGTACCATATATTATATGTGATATATCTTGTATAATATATATATATATATATCATTTATATAATATGTGTGTGTGTGGGTTTGTATGTGTACATTCTATCATATATGGAGCCCATATGATCATCGGCCGTTCCAAAAATGGATCCCCTACTTAGCATCTAAGGTAAACGGCTGAAAACTGGGTTGTTTTCCCACAGGGATGGTCATGAATCCATGGATTCACAGGGATTTCTATATCAATGGATTGGTTTTCACGGGAAAATCTGAACCGGAAACCATGGTTGTTACCATTAAATATGGGGGCTTTCCGGTTAAAATGTTCCCTTAAACCAATCCATTGACTATACTATTATAAGGACTCCCAATAATAGTATACAAATGAATTAATAGACCATCAAAAATGACCATGATAAATTGTATTATTATATGAATTAATGGTTTTTATGGCCATAGACCATTAATTCCATGTTTTGACCATGGTACATATGAATGGAGGAAAATCCACGAGCACTACTTCTCAGGGTCGTGCGATCAGATAATCAATCGCCACTGATAGCTGCAGCTATCCTCAAGATAAATTTGGATCAAGGAAAAGGGTTCATAAAAATTCGCGAATTTGATGGGTCTACAGTACCCCATGTCGATACACACCAATTGTTCCACCAAACATCAAGCATCACTGTGACAAGCATCAAGCCAAAGTCACAGCGCACGGATCGACATGGCAGAGCTGCGGCAGGATCGAAATGATCACGGACTTTTTGGATGGTGAGATCGACTTCTTGCATGAGCTCTTAGGGAAGGCGAGTTGCGGCGATTGTAATTGGGACAAAAATGTCCATGCATCTCCCTGGAAGATGTTCGATTTATTTAGAATGTCAAGATCTTGTGATACAAAAGTGGTAGGATTTCATTTGAGAGAGAATCTACTGCTTCCATATGACTCGTATATTCTCATATGTTTTTGGCATTCACGGCTGTGGACAGCTTTTTCTTGTGGCAAATTTAAGGGCGGGCGATCGATCGACTCGAAACGCCAGGTACAACACTTGGCTACGTCCAAACGAGCTCATGTGGACCGGGGCCCAAGTTGATGGGCCGGGGTCACGATCGTGAGTCACTAGGAAAACCATAGGAAAACCATAGGAAAATGGAGGTTTACCCTCTGGTAAACATACAAAAAGCTATTGAAAATGGCCATAGAAATAGTGGATTTTCCCATGAAAAAAGGTGGATCTTTCCATAGTTATGTAAACGTTTACCAGAGGGTATATGATTGTGTATTATTGGGATCTGGAGAATGTACCAACAAGTCATCAAGATATTGCTACAAGCTGGTGCCTCCATTATAGTGTTTTATGTTCCCCAATCATCGAATTAGTTTTCGTATGTGATTTCATCACCACAGCTCCACTGTGTGAGTGTTCACCAGGCGCCAACGTTGGCGATTTCGCTCGTTGCGGCACCTTTTGGTTTCGGTGTGTTTTTCAAAATGCCGCCGTGAAAAATATCCCAATATGGCCATGGAATGCCATGGATCAATGTGATCAATAGCTACAATGTGAGGCCCCCCAGTGATGTTTGTTGGTTTAGATTCGCCCCAGTAACTAGTTCGTTATTTGCGTACCATAAACCATAGTGACATTGGAGTTATTGGCACCAACTTAGCTATCTTGGGGGCCTCACATTGTATAAATACATATAAATAGAATTTTAGGGGATGAAGATCCATCGATCCCAGTTATTTTGATTGCCAGGACAAGGTTTTGACCCATCCCAATATCTGATTCCTCAAAAACGAATTTCAATGTATCCATGTATTACCCATCCCATTATCCTATACCCAGAATAGTCAGATATAGAGAGTTGCCGTTGTGTCCCTCCAGCCGCTAGTCCTGATGATTTTTACTGAGGACTGGATGAGATCTGTGGATTTTCTGTTGGACCTCCTCACCAGGTGGGTAGATGCAGAGATTTCAACTGAAAAAAAGGTCAAAGAAATGCCTTTTAGACCACAGCTTGTGGTTTCAAAATGTTTCAATATCGAAATGGCTCGTAAAATTTACGGTGGTAATTCCCATTGACCAACTTTTCTGGCAGTTGAGACCACTGAGCAAGTCACATTTCCAAAATGCATTGGAGTCAGTTCCCATTGTCCTTTGATTTTCACAGGAAGCGTAGCAATCTGCAGCTCATCTGTTGGACTTTGGTATGACCTTGAAATATCGAAACCATAAACCGTCTCCAATCACTTAATGGACGCTGTATGGATGCTATCGACATGTATCAACCATCATCAATTGGAGATTTAATTAAAAAAACAATCATAAATGATATGATATAATTATGAAAAACCATCAAATTATAAACCATCATCAATTTTACCCTCTGGTAATTTGTTACATAACTATGGAAAATCACCATAGAAATTGTGAATTTTCCCATCAAAAATGTGAATTTCCATAGCTTTTTGTATGTTTACCAGAGGGTATCAGGAAAAAACATGTTTGATGATGAACTTTCCCTCCTGATTTTTCCCGGCCAGTTCGGCGGATGTGCTGAAGCAGACACAGATCTACACGGATGAGGGCGAAGAACGGGACCTACAGGTGGTTTTTTTTGAACGGAACGGGTCCGGATGTGGGGCAAGCGATTTTTGGGGTACCCTGTGGTAAACGTTTAAACGTTTACATAACTATGGAAAGATCCACCATTTTGAGTGGGACAATTCACTATTTCAATGGTGGATCTTTCCATAGTTATGTAACAAATTACTAGAGGGTATCATGGGAGTTCAACCTGTTGGAATATACCCTATAGGGTAAACAAAAACAGTTCGATGTGGAAAATCAGTCACATATAGTTGATCGTTTTCCGAGGGAAGCTATAGGTTTTCCACATCGAACTGTTAGGTTTAGCCAATAGTTTATTGATGTGATTTTTTTGAGTTTTGTAGAGTTTTCCACATCTATGTACCCTCTGGTAAACGTTTACATAACTATGGAAAGATCCACCATTTTCAATGGGTAAATCCACTATTTCTATGGGTCATTTTCAATAGCTATGTAACAAATTACCAGAGGGTAAACCTCCATTTTCCTATGGTTTTCCTATGGTTTTCCTATGGTTTTCCTATGGTTAACTACAATTTATTAGTGGAACTGACAGTCGTTCCTCCAATGGCCTTGGATGTTTCGTTGGAGTCACGGAGTCACCGTGGCGGTCGGGTGTCGGGTGGGTTTATGGGGGCCTCGATTTTTTCAAGAAAACACTGAGATTAGGGGGGGTCCTAAGTCATTAGGTGTGGGTTTATGATGATTTTCTATCAACTATATTCAATTATCATGGGTTGATTTTCTGATTTCCCCAATAATCATGGGGCTACCCCCAGTTCTCATCCATGTTCGTGGCGGATTTTCCATGAAATAAACTAACGATCCAGCGAACTGGGGGTACTCCCATGGAAAGCTCCAAACTTTGAGATCCTAAGATCCATCAGGTTCCTGGTTCCATTTGCCCAAGAGGCGGACCATGGCCCATGGCTAGTTTGATGATTTACCTATGATTTACCTTTGATGGGTAAAACACCATGTTTATCATTTTTTCTTCATGATAATGTTTATTCATCATGGTGATGATCGCATAAAATTTTGATGTCATAAAATTTACCCTCCAGTAAATTAACAGTTCGACCCTGGCAGTCATCGGGATTGGAAGATGAGTTTCAACTAAATAATGGCTATTTTCAGGGTCCAACTGTTAATTTACCAGAGAGTATCTATTATTTTGATGTTGATGTTCCAGCTCGCAAACTGTTCAATTCCTGGATGGCACTGGAAATCAAGCAGCCAAATATCCACTGCTTAGAAGGCCAACTTGAATCGCCTGGGACTATACCATTCCCTCAACTGACATAGACCTGAACATTGCCCGTTTTAAAAAAGGAAACAGTCCAGCCCCCTGTTCGACAGGGGGGGTAACCTGTTTTACCTTCCAAGATCTACAGTATCATAATTTGTGATCTAATTGGGATGAATATAAATATCAATGCCAATGGTTATATATAATTATTGCTATTGCTAATTTGCTAGTATCACCCATTACCCTACCATACCCTACCTATTCCAAAAGTTAACCAACCAACCATGAGAACTATATTCTATATATTGCAATGATTGTTATTGTTATTGTGATTGTGATTGTTATTGTGATTGTGATTGTTATTGTTATTGTGATAGTAGTGTTTATTCTTGCTGTTGCCACTACTGGATTGAATGGATAACATCTATCTATTATCATAAGTAAGCCATTTGATGTGCCCCATTTATAGATCATTACCCTCCAGAAAAAAAAAAACAAAACACTACTGGAAAATATATGAAAATCCACAGAAAGTATTGACACTATAAAGAAAATATACGAAAATCCACAGAAATTACCCTGAAAACACTATAGGTATCTCAATTGACTAGATGGCTCAACCTACCATGGCTGGTTTTTTTCCAGCCATGACAGGATCAGCTCTCGGAGTGGATAGGACCGGATTCACGGTGGAGATTGGATGATGGGACAACTTCGGAAAGCCCCATGAGTTTTTTTTAAAAAAAAACATGATTTCTGGTAGAGATTTCCTTACAAAAAACTCCATTGATCTTAGATCCTAGACACTGCAGAAAAAGATTCAGCACTTGGGCAACAAAAACATGGAAACATCGGAAAAAAAACGGCAGACATCAGCAGTTTGCCCATCTAAATCAGCAAAAAACATGCTTTCCCCATGTTCGCAGGAGCTGGATCTAGGCCTCTGGGATTTTCGCGGGAAGTTGTAGGAAGGATGGCTGTTTGATGAACTAGTTTGGATAATCCGACTTTTTCTGGGGAAAATGGTGGTTTATACCCTGAAGGAATTAAACTCTATTGATTTTAATAAGTTCGTTTGTGTTATCATTATTGTTATCTGATCTTTGTTTGTTAATCAATTTGTAAATCAAAATCAACTGATTGTAGTTTGATTTGTTGGTGCACAGTATGATCTATGGTATTTTCGAGCCAAAGTTTGGATATAGAGGTTGCCCTAAAACTGGCACAGTCACCCAACGGAGCTCCGTTTACGGATGCTTCCCCGCACGGACGCTGTTGAAGTTTTCTTTCGAGACCAATACTGGTGGTTTGGAACATTAATTTTATGACTTTCCATATATTGGGAATAATCATCCCAACTGACTTTCATATTTTTCAGAGGGGTAGGTACACAACCAACCAGAATAGCTTTGGGGTGCACACGGGGGGTCGCCAATGTTTTGGACACAGGCAGCCAACGTTGACCACTTCTCCGATGGTATCTGTGAATGAGTCGGCTGCGGCTGCGGCTTGGTTGATGGATAGATAGATGGGTGGATGGATAGACAGATAGACAGATAGACAGATAGACAGATAGACTCTACATACACGATCTGCTGCTGGTGACCCCTGAGGCACCCCACTCAACTCCGGTTTAGGGAATCCAGTTGTTTTGCCCTGGTGCTTTAAATGGTGATTTTGCGGAAGAAAAAAAAGTGAATGATAGATTTTACGATGTTTTTCCTGGGATTTAACCATTGAACTTGGAACAAAAGTTGGATTTACTGATATAATTTGCCAAATGTGGGAAATGCGGATCTTTACCCACAAATATGGGGATTTGCTCATCACAACCTGGTGGCGAAACATGGGCTTGCTGTCTACAAAACCGTTTCTTGGGGATTGCAGTGAGATCCAATATTGCTAAGCCTGTCACCAGAAGGTAGAGGATGAGATCCAGGGTGAATAGGAATATTCTATATATATATATATTGAATAGGATAATCTATATGAATTCTATATGTTGTATATGTTGTATATGTTGTATATCAATCTGAGATCCAGCGGACTAGGACCGATGAATTTTGCTGAAGCAGTCTAGTCTAGTTGGTGCTGATTTGAGGCCTGGATTCCTAGTGTTTTTTGTATAGGCACCCATCGTGTGACTTTTTTGAATCGACATCCCGATTTTTTTCGATGGTGAATCAACCGGTTGAATCATGAAAAAAATCACCCTATCTTTATGGAGTTTTTTAGCGAAAATCTGATCTTTGGAGTTTTTCCGCGAAAAATAGACTGTGGATGGAAAACATCCTGTTTTGCACCAGCAAAAGGATGGTTGAAATATGTTGAAATCCTATCAGGTGATAACCACCGAACTGAACTGGTACAACATTTCTTCCATCCACAGTATCTGCCTGAAGATCATAGTAGTAAGTGGAGTATTTTCCACCCCAAAGGGAACTCCTGAAAATATTTGGAGTATTAGTATCGCTATCCATTTTTATCCCACGATATCATAATATCCCTATCCCACTATATCCAGCTAGATATACAACTGGTTGGTGGTTTGGAACATGAATTTTATTGTTCCATATATTGGGAATTTCATCATCCCAACTGACAAACTCATATTTTTCAGAGGGGTAGGTCAACCACCAACCAGATCCCTAGCCAATTGATTGATATTTGCCAATTGATAATCGATGATAATCAATCCATGATCATCCACATATTGATAGTTATCAATTGATAGTTGTGGATTATAATCCCTAGACAATCAATCAATCAACCAGTATATATATATATATATTAATGGTATTAATACTGATATTCTATATGATTGATGATGATTTCTCCTATAATCTATGGTGATACATACAAGTATATCATAATTTAACCCCCCCTTGGAAACGAACTGCACTCGGTTAAGGGGCTGCAGATTCCCGGGCAGATGCCTTCCACCGGCTTCGAGGACTCCCAACGAGGCACGGCCGTACGGCAGTGGGAGAGCATCAAAGCATGGTTGCGTGGGATCTTAACCTTCATTTAACCCATAGGATCCATGTATGGTATATATGCTAACATTTGGGGTATATTGATGGTAAATGTTACCATATATAGCATACATGGATCCTATGGGTAATGGGATTTAATGGGATCTTTACCCTCTGGAAAACCATAGGAAAACCATAGGAAAATCATAGGTTTACCCTCTGGTAAACATACCAAAAACGATGGAAAATCATCATGCTGCCATGCGATTAGTAGCTGGGTAAATCAACGAACTTTCGACTGGGCCATGGCTTCCAGTTTGCTTCAACTGTATCTTTGCCAGGCTGGGTTTCATGGCCGGGATTTCGGCCGGGATTTTATAAATTTTGCAACTCCTGGGATCAAAAAAGCCATGGTGATTTCTGACATCGGATCTTAACATAAATAACCATGGCTCTTTTGTGAAATAACCATGGTTAATCCAGCTATTCTTAAATAACCAGAGGGTATAACCTTCATTTTTGTGATATACCCTCTGGTTATGACTAACATAGCCATGGAAAATCCCCAACATAAATGGAGGTTTAGTTCGCTGGGAAAAGCATCTATTTCCATGGGCCATGGCTTCCACGGCTATGTTACATAACCAGAGGGTATATCATATGGTGAAGCCTCAAACATATGGGGATACCCTGATCATTGATCATTGGATGATTTTTTAGGAGGTAAGTCATTGGATGAATCGTTGTTGTTTCTAGTTCGTGGTTTCAATGGTTTTTACGGGGCTATAAAGGCATGCAAAAAAAAAACATGGATATATTTGTGTATAACAGTTAATAGCTTCTTAATACATCAACCACTAATGGTCTGAATAGGTTCTAATAGGTTCTATAATACTTTTCTACAATTGTTGTATATGTTTTCGTATTTTTGGTCCTATATTTGTTCGAGTCAAATGTAATGGGGGATGATTCCCTTACACCATTTTTTTGTTGCTCTAATCTTTTCATCAATATGATCTCTAATCTTTACATCATAGTTTCATCAATCATCTAGAATGGTTTCAATATAGATTATCAATTAGAAGGAAAAAATATCATTACATTTTTAAATATGATATTTAATATTTAGAATCTTTACATCATTCATCATCATAGTTACATCATAGTTTCATCAATATTATATTTAATCTTCAATATGGTTTCTAATGTTTGATGCCAAAGAATTCCGATGGTCCCCAACTCGATGACCACGATGACCACGGCGGAAGCTGGGGGATGCTGATCCACCCGTTTTGAGTGGGTAAATCAACGAAGTTTCGACTGGGCCATGGCTTCAATAGCGAAGTGTAACAGTCATTACCAGTTGATATCTGAGATATCGACTGATGAATTTTGGAAATATCGACTTGAATATTGTTCCGTAGATGTTTGGATTGAAGAGAGTCAAGAGATTTGGAAGATGTTTGATGCAGATCGAATTTTTGCATCCCTGTTGCATCCACTCCTTGATAAAAAAAAATGCTTCCCAGTTTACATGTCTATTTTGCTTGTATACTCGATTCTTAGTATTTGTGGTTAGATATGCTATTATATTCCAAATATCATCATTATATTATATATATATATATATATCCCCATATTGTTGCTAGTATCCCCATCATATCCCCATATGAGACATGGTCAAAACTTGGAAAGTACGGAAGTGTTTAGCTACACTTGTTGTGCCGGCAAATGGTCTACGGTGACTCAACTTCTATTTTGCTTCTTCAAGATGTCGTGCATGTTAGTTTTCAGGCCTGTGCCTGTTCCTTCTCACACCATTTATCCCTCGCCCGCAAATGCTAGCGTGGGGTTTGGCTGATTGTCCGCCTGGAGTGAGGTCAAAATTTGGAACATATACCCATATTGGGGGATGATCATCGACCCATTATCTTTCTTATATCCCCAGAATATCTCCATTTACATCCCCAGTATGTCCCTGACCAGGAGATTTGAATGCGACATTTGAAACTCAAGAAGGCTGTTGAAACCGATGTCTATTGAAAAAAACTACGATGTTTATCATCTGGTTGGTGGTTTCAAACATGAATTTTATTTTCCATTTCATAAAAAAGGGATGTCATCCTTCCCATTGACGAACTCATATTGTTCAGAGGGGTAGGTCAACCACCAACCAGTATATATATATATTAATAGTGATATTACATACTGTATGATTGGTGATTTCTCGTATAATCTATGCCATTACTAACCATTAACCATTGTCACTCACCATGGCTCGGTCTCAGCGGCAGGCTCCTTCCATTCGCAGCCTGCGCAGCCTGGTGCCGTGTCGAAATCAACGGGCCTGGGATTGATGGAGAAATGATTGGTTTAGAAATGATGGATCCATTGATCATAAGCATTATATATATATATTGTATATATATATATCATATATTATATACATTATGGTAGTGATATAATGGTAATATATGGTAATATATGGTACTATATGGTAATATATAACTGATCATAACACCAATTTCTGGTTTGGTTTAGTGTGGGGTGATGATTGTTAATCATGGTTACTCAATGTTAAGAATGGTTAATGAGATAACAGGTTGGTGGTTTGGAACATGAATTTTATTTTCCATACTGGGATAATCCTTCCCATTAACTAATATTTTTCAAGATGCTTAAAACCACCAACCAGTTATGGATCCATTGATCATAAGCATTTTCCCATCAATGGATATAGGTCCAGGATGGGTCCCCCCCAGTTATGTTTGTTGGTGAACATAACCCCATCTAAATCTAAATACAGCTATTTGCGTATCATACACCAACTTGTTATTATAGTTATTTGCACCAACTTAGCTAACGAACTGGGGCCCCATCCTGTAATAACCATAATTTATAACCATACATTGATCCATAGATCCATTGGTTTACAGTACAGTGATCAGAAACAAGCAAAACAATCCAGGAGATTTTAGATCAATGGATCTGGGCAAATGATGACCTCACTGCGACCGAGCCCTGGAATGATGGTTAGTAAGGGAAATAATCCCAATATCACCTTATTTCAGGTTAGTGAATTATTATAATTCACCCAGATAGATGCATTGTTGCTATCCTTTGCTATATGTTGCTACCGATCTTATATAACATATGATTAAATTTGCCCAGATGTTGTTTCAATGGATTGTTTTTTTGGGGAAATCTTCAACGGAAACCGTGGATTTGCCCTCATTTCATGATGGGCCCCAATGATGGGTCCTGTAATTCATGGAAACCTATCCTAAATTGGTAAATATCCTAAATTGGTAAATATTACAGTCAATATCCTAAATTTTAGTCAAGTGATCATTGGTAAGTATCCTAAATTGAACATCACCCGAGAATTTTGGGGGTATAATCTCAAGAGATACTTGTTTTAGTGATGTTTGATGAGTGATGGTTCAATGGGGGTCACCTTCGCAAAACGGCTTTAGAAAAGTCGACCAAAAATGCCCAAATTCCGGGTTCTCCATGAAAAGCAGCGCCCCAGTGATCTCTCCATACTCTTCAGGAACTCAACGTATGGAAAACCCAGCAATGGTATATCCGCGTAGATATGGAAAACCCAATTTACAGCTATAGACAGACAGCCATGGGTTGGGAACAGGTGACACTTCGCAGTTCTCCGGACTCCAACAGGTGGGATGGGACCTTGGGACCTGAGGTGCCCAGGTGCCCTTGACGGTGCTTGAAAAAATCGACCATTCAAAGCACGAATCAAGGGATATTGAATCACTACTGTATTGAATCACTGTGATTTATTTCAGGTGATGTGAAAATTTAATAGCATTCAAATAAATCACCATTCAAAGTATTGCCATTGAAGGGAAAATGCTACCCCATTGATGAAAAACATCACCATTCAAAGTTGATCATCAATTTCCCCTTGATAAAAAATCTGCGTAAACGTGGGTAATTCTCCTGAAACTTCCTGAAAGCCATGGATGTCCATGGTGAAATCTTTTTAGGCTGCGTCTGCACAAGAATCAGCTTTGGTGACTGTCGACCCTTCCATGGACCCTTGGAACAAGGACTGCTGCCATGACATGATGAAGGCTGTACCCCCGTGGTTTCAGTTGTCAAAATGGAGGTTTCCATAAATGGGGGTACTCCAATAGCTGGATGGTAATGGAAAATCCATCTATAAATGGAGAACTGGGGGTACCCCCATGACTTTGGAAACCTCCAAATTCCATCTGATTATGAAAGTTATCTCAAATATGATCCCGATTGACCAATTTGAGTGCTATTAATCTATTACAACTCCACACATTTGACCAAAACCCATGTTTGTAGCTGTTGAAACACAATAAACTTGTCAATTATCCGCCTCAAAGCTAGCGATTCTATTTTTTGGTTGCAACCATACTTGGATCCAAATGAAACATGGCTATATTTCATCGGTGAACGAAAAGCAAATTCCTAACCACTTCAGCCGTTTCTAAATGGGATGGTTGCAGAGTTTTATGCATGATTAATCAGAATCATAATTACGTATATTATATATCCCATAGGATCCATGTATGGTATATATGCTAACATTTGGGGTATATTGATGGTAAATGTTAGCATATATAGCATACATGGATCCTATGGGTATGCATGTGTGTGTGGGTCATGAACCACTTGCGATTGCGATCTCATGGCTGAAATTTACATGGAATAAGAGCCGCGTTTGCAGAGATTCGTTGACATACACGGGCACACACACACAAATATATGTATATATATATATTACCGGTAAAGTCCAAAGACACACCAAACTTACATATCCTGTATATACACCTTTTAATGCATATATACGCTATATATATAATTGTATAATATATATATATATATACGCTATATATATATATATACGCTATATATATATATTATATACAGTATATGGGGTTATTCTTCATTTCCCGCAGGACCTGCACGTCCGGTCAGCCTTGGGTGTAGGGGACTGGAACTTCGACGCGCTGAACGCGGCCGCGCAGCACCAAAGTGTGCTGAAACTCGTGTCTTTGGCGGTCAACGGCGTGTGGCGTTGATGTCAATTGGTGAAATCGGTCTTAGTCTATGATAGTAACGCCATGAAAGATTCAGAAAAGATACGACGTATCGCTATTTTAGAGGGATTTGACCGAATTTTATCTGTTTGGGGGTTGCCATAGCCATTCTGAATGGGGAAATCACCTCTTTTTATTGGGAAATAGAGGACAATCATATCCCATAGGATCCATGTATGGTATATATGCTAACATTTGGGGTATATTGATGGTAAATGTTAGCATATATACCATCCATGGATCCTATGGGTATATAAATGAAGGATTTTTGGTTGCAGCAGTTGACATCCAGTCATCCAGCGACTGTTTGGCATCCAAATAATTGAGATAACTAAGCCACAAGCCAAACCAGCAATTCACGATTGCTTGAAGTCAAGTCTGGGAAAATTTTCTGTGACGAAACTCACCTCTGGTAATTTGTGGCATAGCTATGGAAAATGGCTATGGAATTATAGGTAAATCATCTATAGATGTGCCATTTTCTATGGTTATTTTCGTTTATTTTCCCTTTTTTTTAATGAAAGTATAGGGAAGTCATCCTCCAAAATGCCGCCAATTTCATGTAGAATTGATGCCAGGAAGCCAAGGACATTCATCCCCACCCCGAGTTGCTGCCCCCTTTTTTGAGGAGGCTCAAGATGTCAAGCTGCCCGATTAGCTGGGTGTGGTGGTATGGTTCAACCCCCTTAGCAGTTTCTCAAGTGTTGACCCATCCCCATCTCAATTCATGTGTTTTTTCAAGAATGCTTCGCGTCAATGTATCGTTGCCGAGCGGACGCAGTGAAACGCTGCTCCCGGATCTTTCTACGGTGGAGGACTTGCAAATTCTGGAATCTTTTGGACAGAAGTTCTTGAGGCATGTGATAGCCAAAAACCGTGGCCTCACGGATGCATTGCAAGCTGGGATCCAAGAAGGAGAGCACTGCAGTTGTGCTTCAGCCAAAGTATCTTCAACAGGAGCCTTTGCAGTTTTGTGTCGCGGAGGTGACAGGATTGTGACATGGGGGAATCCAATGAAGGGTGCCAGCCTTGGCAATCCAAGGTCAGGTGAGAGTAGAGCAGGTTCAGGCCACAAAAAAAGATGCATTTACAGCCATCTTGGCGGATGGATCCGTTGTGACCTGGGGCGATCCAAAATCTGGTGGTGACAGCTCGGCAGTTCAAGGGCAGCTTAGGAATGTGCGGCAGATTCAAGCCACAACTGTTGCATTTGCTGCCGTTTTGGACAATGGATCCGTTGTTACCTGGGGCGATCCACGAGATGGTGGTGACAGCTCCGCAGTGCAAGATTTGCTCCAATCTGTATAGATGTTGATTTTGAGACACTAGCCCGGAGGAGAGTTTGTTGAAAGAAGCACAACTTTTGCAGACAACAGTCCTTGGCCCTTCCACACCAGTGGAGGCTGAGATTTTTACCCCCATGTCAAGCTGTTTTTTTGCTTGCCCATTGTTTGATGGTTCAAGCATGTTCAAGCACTATGATGGTTGGTTGCTCTACCATTCGTTCAGGGAGGTGCGATAGGATTTTTTCACTGGCAGTAGAATCAAATCAACAGGAATTTTCCTGGCAAAGGTTTGCTTGTATTTTTCCAGCACGCATATGACATTTCAAAGATGCACTTGGACCTCAAATAAAGTCATATGCGATTTCCATAGTTTAATACTTTTTGATTTCCATCAACTAATGACATTCATTTCCATGGTGTAAAAAAGCGGGTACGCGATGTACCATACCCAGGTCGGCATGGAGATCCTGAACGATCGGCCTATGCTCCCAAAGGACCAGTTGAGCAAAGTGCTTGGGAAATCCATGGAAAGCCACAACACGTGGTGTTTGTCATGTGTGTGTACATCATTTTCCAGATTCAAAAGGTCTATAAAATGGGGTATCTGCCATGTTCAAGCTAAACTCATGTTGATCTTTACCAGTGATGTGTGAAAAGAGCCTTCAAAATGTTGGGTTGCAGTGAATGGTGGGTTGATCTTTTGCCACAAATTGAGCTACCAAAGAAAAGGGGTTAGGACTGGAGTTGTACTATCCCCTTCCCCCTAATATTGAATACTCCCCGTATAGACTCCTGTAATACATAGATCCAATAATTCAAACCTGGTGTTCAAGGGTTGTATTTAATATTAGGAGGTGATTACCAGTAGTACCGCACAAGGCGGTGGCGGAAGTTTCAAGGATAGAACACTATAGGAGAGGTGAGTTGTTGCGATGCATGGATGGCAGAGCGAATCCACTGATGGACCAAAAGGTGGTTGGAGTTGTGCTTTTTGGAGTGGTTGCAATGGTTGCAGTGGTCACCTCACTCACAACTCCTGGATGTAGTGTGGTGTAGTGCTGTAGTTGTACGTAGTTGTAGTTGTAGTGGGGTTGATGTTGTTGAAGTTGTAATGTTGTAGTTGTGGTTGTAGTTGTAGTTGTAGTGGTAGTGTAGTTGTAGTTGAAGTTGTGGTGTGGTGTAGTGCAGTTGTCTATCTATCTGTTTATATATCTGTTTATCTATTTGTCTTTCTGTTTATCTATTTGTCTTTCTGTTCATCTATTTGTCTTTCTGTTTATCTATCTTTCTGTTTATCTATCTAATTATCTATCTATCTATCTATCTATCTATCCATCCATCTATCTATCTATCTATCTATCTGCAAGTTTGAAAACGAAGCTATTCTGCTAGACTTCCTCAATTTTTGAACTTGACAACGTCAAAAACGAAATAATTCTGCCAGACTTCCTTAATTTTTGAACTTGACAACATCAAAAACAAAACAATTCTGCGAGACTTCCTCAATTTTCGAAGTTGACAACATCAAAAACGAAACAATTCTGCAAGACTTCCTTCAAAAATGGAAAGTTGAGTGCAGAGCTGACGGCCTCGTACCAATGCGTTTTGCGATTTTTCCACTCCACCTGTCTAAAGTACTGCGCGTGCCACGAAAAAGTGCTGCCAGGTCATACGAAGTGCTGCACCTGTCACGCAAAATCATCTTCCCAAAACTGAAGATCTGATGCTCCAAAATGCAACCCCTCGCAGAAAATCAGCGCCCGGACCTCCTAACATCTCTGATGAACATGTCTCTTGTATTGCGGCTGCCACGCGATATGCATCTTTCCAGATCCTGTGCATAGTCCCACGCCTGCCATCGTTTTAGGAAATGCCACAAAATCCTCAGGTTTTGCTCACTTTTGACAAGGTGCATAATCCCTTGCGCCTGCCACGCAAAACCACATCTGAACCTTCAAAAGTGGTCCAAGCATGTGGTGTTTTTAACATTTTGACTTCGAAATGTGCTTCGCGCCACAACGGCGTGCACTTTTTGGACATCGCAACTCCTAAAAGTGGTCCGAACATGTTGTGTTTTGTAGATTTTGACTTCGACATGTGCTTCGCGCCACAACTGCGTGCACTTTTGGGACATCGCAACTTCTAAAAGTGCTCCGAAGCTGAGGGGTTTTGTACATTTTGACTTCGAAATGTGCTTCGCGCCACAACGGCGTGCACTTTTTCGACATCTCAACTTCCAAAAGTGGTCCGAGAACGGTGTGTTTTGTACATTTTGACTCAGAAATGCGCTTCGCGCCACAACGGCGTGCAATTGTTCAACTCTCATCTGGCCAGCTGGCTCCGCACCCGCCGCTTTAGCGAGCCTACTTTACTTTTCGACCCTCCGGAGCCACAAATCATTGGAAAAACACAGTGTTTTGCGACTTTCCTACCTTTTCGCGCACCTGGATCTTCTTTCTTCTGAGACTTTCTCTCTTCTGATCTTCTTGCTTCTGCTCTTCTCTTCTCTGACTCTTCCCACCTCTGCTTTTTCATCTGTCCATATTGTCGGAAGTTTAACTTCTAAACTTCGATAACTGGTCAATGGTGGTCAGTTAACCAACTGATGACTGGTGGGTTGAAGTTTAGCCATGGAGGAAGATGCTACAAGAATAGGGGTTCAAAATTGAACTGGGAGACTGGAAAACAAAACATGGCCAATGGCCCCCGCACTGTTTGGCTGATTTCCAAACAGGATGTGAACTGTTTATTGCTTTGCTTCATGGACAAAAATTTCAACACGTGGATTGAACCAAGAAACATATGGTTTTTATGGTTCACCAAGATTGCGGATTACCATTTTACTGTGATCAGTGGAGGTAGTTAACTCACCATTCTGGGTGGATAACATGATTTTCGGTGTTTCATCCGTAGTTGTTTGGTGCAAAAACATTCACAATTTGACCCCCTGAAAACTCGCCAAGCAACAGGAACATTTGCCTGCGTTCTTGGAGACCCTTGAGAGCAGTTCTCTCCTCGGGGGCAGCCAACGTGTCAATTTTTTGGGCTGGACATCCTGCAAGATATCGCCTCGCATTGGACATTTTTGGATAGAATTTCTCGGTGTTTTTTCTGACAGCAATTTTGATGATTTTTTGTAGGATTTCAAACCACGCTTGAGAACTCTCCAACCTTGCGTGTTCTGAGGATATGACACGAGTAACCCGTACCACAGCAATGTCCACGCAGCGGCGCCTCGAGCGGTTGCGGTGCTTGGGTTCCTGTAGATTCCCATGGTGGAAATATGAGTTCGGTACCTGAACATACTATGAATGGAAGAAATCCTGCACCAGTTGGTGAGTATTGGTAACTATGAAACATTGCAAATCATGCATGGAGTTATGAAAAGGGGTTAAACGGTTAAACCACCAACTGGTGCAGGATTGAAATCCAGCCGACCACGGGTGTGCCCAAATCCGAAGGGTTTATCACCACCTCTGTGTGGAATCTGATCCCAGTTGCAGGGTAAAAAAACTGTCCCTCAGGGTATGAACTATATATACCTTCAAGATCTTGTTGATATTAATGAGTAAACCCTCAATGATCTCAATGGGAAGCTCCAATGACACCAGTAAACCCAGCAATGGGATAAATCCAAATACACTCCACCGGAGCTTCTGGGGAATGTATCATGAATGTATCATGAATCTCAGCGGGAAGGGATTGTAGTTCTTTGATATCTATTAGAATTCTATTAGATATATTTATTGTGATAACCCATCATAACCCAACTTACCGACCATTGATTACACCCACCGATTACCTGTTCTTCTTCCCTCCCCTCCAACCGTCCCAAAGGATGCCTTGCTGGTTACAATCTGAGGACATGACCAATGCGGTGTATTTTATGTTCGAGAGTTGTGGGCTACAGGACACAACGGACACAACGGACTCAACGGACCCCCGAGCAGAAAACAACAGAACGGAACGGAACGGGGGCAGATGGGAAAACATGGGAAAACGTGCAGGGTTAATTTTTAGAACCTTACTATACTGGAAAGTCTCAATCATTCTTTCCATGTCATCGCACTTGCAACCCTGATTGATTTGATTAGTCTGAAAATAGGCTAATTACACAACAACTGGTGGCTCAGTATAATTGTCTCCACTAGTATGGCCATAAATTGGGGGCGAGTGTACCCCACCCCATTGACGTACAAGCAATATCTTTTAAATTTCTATGTAATTTTGGCTGGTATAATTTCATGGATGGGCCATGTCATATGGTTCATTGCATTTCCCATTACATCCCCATAAACTGATATAAACTGGTTCGTTGCAAACCATCATGTGACATCGTTGGCTTCAGGAGCGGGTGCACATTTCAGAGACCAGCGTGACCTGTATGTACCTGGCGGCCCTGGGCCACGTGCTGCTGGCATGGGCTGAGTGTAGCTGATGTGGGATGTTGGGCATGAGGCTTGGAGATAATTTGGTGACAAGGAAGATAAATAGATAGATCTATGAATAGATAGATATGTCAATAGATAGATATATGATATCTCATATATATATAATAATATATAGTTCATATTTATATATATACACCATATGTTGTGAAACCACTGCCTATTCACATGTGCCTGCCAGGGTCACCCATTCCACCATGCACTGCAGCCGGGGGTAGGCTCAATGCCTGCGTGAAGGTGGGAGGGTTTTTGCGCTTGAGCAATAGGCGCTATCAGTGACGCTTAGCGGAGAACCTTGTGGACATCACATTGGTTAGGTGCAGATCTGAGTGGCGTGGTACGGGGAAAAGACGCAGCAGCGTTTGCAGTTGCTCAGCAGGGCTGGGCGGGAGGAGGTTGGACAGCTACCTTTGTCAGTTTGACATTGGTAGCGGAGCCCTGGCGCTCAACAGGGCCAGGCTCCAAAGTGGAAATCATTGGGCATGAGCTCAATTGAAAGTGCAGGATCAGAAGGATCAGGCGGAGGAGTGTCTCATCAGCTGGCGACCTTAGTCCCGACGTTTGACCCGGCAGTTGATGACGTGACCACATGGTCCAACAAGGTGGAAGGAACTACTCTTAGCGGCATGGCCTGAAAGCAAGATTGTGGAGCTGGCGACGAGGCTGATCCTCAACACCAAAGGATCAGCTTTCCAGAAGCTTCAACTCAAGCAGAAGGAGATCCTCATCAATGACCCGAAAGGGATTCGACGTCTGGTGGAGCTAGTGGGAGGTACCTGGGGTCAGGTACCTTTGGAAAACAGGTATGAACTGGCTGAGAAGGCGTTGTTTCGGTGCCAACAAAAGGCGGATGAGTCAGGGGATTCCTACATAGCTCGAGTTGATGTGGTATGGTCGGAACTTTTAGCCAAGTCTCTCAGTCTGGAACAACTCATGGCCTATGTGTTGCTGCGAGGGAGTCGTTTGAGCGCAGAAGACAAAAAGAGGGTTCTGGTAGAATCAGGTGCCGAAGGCACATCCAAGACTTTGGAATGGTCCAAAGTGGTGGCCGCAATCCGAATGCTGAGTTCCAATTTCTTTCAGGAATACACTGGAGGGAAACGTGACAAGTCTCAGAAAACCTATGATCACATGGCTTTTGCTACTGATGAGATAGGAGATGAAGAACATGAGGAAGAAGTTTTCTGGACTAGTGATGAGATGTTGGATGAAGACACAATTGCAACTCTAGCAAGTGAACATGATGAAGATGCCAACATGATTCTCCAGTTGGAGGACGCCATCACCGAAGCTGTACAGAATGACACAGAATTAGCAGCTTTCTTTTCATCGTATCAAGATGCCAGAAGGCGTCTGACAGAGCGAGTGAAATTCCGAGGGTTTTGGCCAGTGAAGAAGTTTGGAAAGAGCTCAGGCAAGAAGGGTTCCAAAGGTGGTCACAAAGGAGGACGCATGACTTTGGCACAGAAGATCGCAAATTCGAATTGCCGCCTCTGCGGCAAGAAGGGGCATTGGAAATCTGAGTGCCCAAAACGAAGCAGTGGTCCTCCGGGTAGCTCACCAACAGCCAGCACCAGCATCCCTACCTCGGTTGTCATCACCGATGACCTACCTGCCTGGATGGAGATTCCCGTGCTGCCTATTCCGGACTCTCAGCATGATAATGGGGTTGAAGTAGCCTTTGGGGTAAGTCATTGGGAACAATACCAAAATAGATGGGTTAAGAGAGGTAAGAATACGGGGATAGACACGACCAGCCTGACCAAAGCCTTTCGTGACTCTCTCAGGAAAAGGATGTCTCTGAGCCGTAGCCCAATGATCCGAACAGTGCAGAATCCGAGCCCGTCCAAAGGTAGTTGTCCCAACCATCCCACTGCCAGTCCGAAAGCGCCATTGAAAACTGAACATCCGAGCATTTGTGATGTCCATTTTGCATCCTCAGGCACTTCCGGAGTTGTTGATTTGGGTGCTTCACAGACTGTGATTGGCAGTAAACAGGTGGTGGAATTGCTTGAAGGTTTGCCCAAAGAAATTCGACGGCAGGTTCGTAGGGAACCATGTCACTTGGTGTTTCGTTTTGGCAATCATCAAACGTTGACCAGCAAACAAGCACTCTTGTTTCCACTGCATGATCAATGGTTTAGGATTGCTGTCGTCCCTGGGCCCACACCTTTTTTGCTTTCAAGTACGTTCTTGAATCAAATTCGTGCGGTGATCGATACCGAAGCTGGCACCCTATGGAGCAAGATGTTGAAGAAACAGCTGATGTTAGAACGCACTGCCAAGAATTTGTTTCTGATGGACGTCAATCAACTGTGGGAGCCAACAGCTACTGCATGCCTGACAACGTCCGTTGGTTCCGATGAGTTCCAAAACCATGCTGCTGAGACGCAATGTCGTGGTGTTCATCTAGGAAACCAACGTGAGAGGAAGAATTCTCAGCCATCATGTCTTGTCATGTCCAAAGGTATCCCAGGTGCCATAAGGTTGTCCATTGCCACACATGACCATGCACAAGATGTACAAAGCGATCGAGAGAAATCGGATCTAAGCAGTAGTGAGCCTTGTGACCGGGTCCCGTCCTGCAAGAGCCATGTCCAGCTTGGCCTCACAGTTCAAGGCGTTCAACAAAGCCTGCAAGAGTGCCAACCAGACAGCCAATCGGGATGCCTTGCAAACCATGACATTGGAGGAGCTCGAGACCGAGAAGATTGCCTTTGGGGAAGCCAAGAAGGGAATGATGTTCAAGGATGCCTTCTTGGACGATCGATGGACAGAATTCATCCTCACCAGGTTCGAGAAGAGCGACAAGCCGGAGCACCTGATGTACGTCCGGTACGTGTCCCTTCGAATGAAGCAAGGTCGGATTCCGGAGACAAAGAATGCCAAAGAGGGCACCAAGACTCCGTCAGAGCCAGCGACAGTCCCATTCGATGTGTGGACCGAGATCCAAGACCCAGAACCAATGAACATGATCTCGTGCCACCCAGCCGAACTGGTGGAGGACATGGGAATGCTGCGCCAGGAGAACCAGAACTTGGCACATCGCATGGGTCAGGTCGAAATGATGATGCAGGAAGTGCTGGACCATCTCCGTCGCTCCTCTGTGAAGACCGAGAACTGAGCTTTCTGACCGACGCCGAAGCTCAAATTTTGAATGATCTAGCCTTTTGTGAACAACAGCTTCTGAATGCCCAGGTTGATATGGACTATGATTTCCAGCCGGAAGTCATTCAACACAGTTTTCATCGCACATGTCAACGGTTCACAAAGCAATTTCAAGCTGAGTTCCATGCAGTCGCCAGAAAACTCCAGGGTAAGAGGTATCAGATTCAAACGCCAAAGCTTGATGTGCTGGAAATCATGTGTTCTTCCGAAAGTGAGCTAGTGAAACAGGCTGATTTGCTTGGTGGTCGTGCTCGCCGTTTTGGATTGGCTGAAGGCGATTTGAACACTGTTTCCGGCCGTGCAAAGCTGTTTGAATGGTTGGTTTTGTATAAACCTGAGCATGTCTGGTACAGTCCCGAATGTGGTCCTTGGGGAAAATGGTCTCAGTTTAACATGGGAAAGTCGTTACAGGGTCTTGCCGAAGGGATGGAAAAACGCCGAGCCAGCCTTTGGCAAATTGCCTTAGCAGTGGTGCTGTATCAGTATCAGTCTGGCCGCCAGAAGCATTTTCATCTGGAACAACCAGATGGGTCCCACATGCTGAATCAGCCCAGTTTGCAGGAAATTCAGGCTGGTACCCAAGAATGCTGTTTTGACTTATGCAAGGTGGGAGATTTGACTGATCCAGAAACACACTTGCCCATCCGAAAGCGATTGCGAGTTCTCACGACGTCCCAGGCTCTGTTCCTCGCCATCCATGGTCGCATGTGTTCTCAAGAACATGAACATCGACAAATTGCAGGTAGCACCACTTTTAAGGGCCAAAGAGTGGCATTATCAACCTTTACGGAATGGTATCCCACAAAGTTTGCCCGACAGGTTGCAAAAGTTCTGCTACAGAGCATACACAAAGAGCATCCCATATATGCTATCAGGGCTGAACCACCTCATGAAGAAGTTTCGGAACACCCAACCAAAAAGAGAAGACTTCGGTCCAAACTGAGCCCTGCGGACATTGCCCTGCGTTTCGCCAGTGTCAATTGGCAGACAGTCATGGAAATGACTGATGAAACCGCTCCTCGTGTCGGTCCCTTAGTGCTAGAAAATGGCAGTCTGTTTGAGAAGGTGCAGCAAATGTGTCCCAATCATCGTGTTGTTCACCTGGTTCTTTGCCGCGGAACAGATAGATATGTAGGACCCACCAAAAGCATACCAAAAGGGGTAGCTCCTCTCAGAAAGAGGATATGTATCCGTCGTCGTCATGAAGACCTAGATGTTGATGAAGAATGGGAAGCATGGGAGAGGTTAACCTTCAAGGGGTTGAGACGGAAAGGGGTTCCTGCAAGAGTCAGCCTGACCATTTTTGCTGCTGCCAAACTGCCTGACCAAAAGGGGATCGAGATGCGGGCTTCTCAGACTCCGTCTTCTGCCGACATGCCACAAGCTCATGATGTTCCCGAAGCTGAATTGCCAGCAGCAAAGCGTGCACGACAAGACCATGCTGAGGAGCCGATAGAGAACCCAGAAGCCATGAATAACCCTGACCGAACGGTAGTGGACTTGGCCTCACAGAAACATGGTCCCAAGTTTGTTGCTTTGAAACCGGAGACTCAAGCATGGTTGCTGAAAGTTCACAGGAATCTAGGTCACCCTGGTAACCAGAAGTTGGCTATCTTTTGCAAGCAACTTGGTTGTCCTGATGAGATGGTGCGTGCGATCAGCGACTTGAAGTGTTCAACATGTGTGGAAAATGCCGTTCCAGCCATCTCTCGTCCCAGCGCCATCCATGAAGAAAGTGACTTTGGGGATATTGTTTCCATAGATGGGGTAACATGGACTAACAGAAATGGTACTCAGTTTCATATCTATCACATGTTAGATCAAAGTACTTTGTATCATACCGCCGTTGTCACTCCAGCTCACAGTGCCGAACAGGCCATCCTGGCCTTGAATCGAGGATGGATGCAATGGGCAGGGCCGCCAAATTTGTTGTGCATGGATGCCGGTACAGAGTTCAATTCGGAGGAGTTCATGGGGTTTCTTCAGAAACATGGTATCCGACACCGAACCATTGCCACTGATGCTCACTGGCAAAATTCTAGGATAGAACGTCATGGTGCCATCCTCCAAAGCATTCTGTCAAAGATGGATACCGAAGAAGCGATTGGAGACCATGCTAGCCTTGAGGTTGCAGTGTCTATGGCCATGCACACCAAAAATCAATGGAGTAGACATCGAGGTTATTCCCCTGAAATGTTGGTGTTTGGGAAAGCCTCAAAGGTTCCAGGATCAGTCTCCTCCGATGAGAGCTCAGCCTCGCACCTCACAGCCAGCAATCCCACACCCGATGGATTGAGATTCCGAGCTGAACTGGCCGTTCGTGAACGTGCCCGAAAAGCATTCTCGGAGACTGACAACAGCCAAGTGATCAGAAGAGCGTTGGTTCAACGCAGCAGGCCGTTCCGAGGCAGTTTCATGCAAGGGGATCATGTGATGATGTGGAAGAAAAAGGGTGAAGCCAATGGAACATGGGTAGGACCTCTCAGGGTTATTATCCAAGAAGGAGCTCAAATTGTATGGGTGACTATGGGACAAAAGTTGTTTCGAGTAGCCCCAGAACACCTCAGACCAATGTCCGCGGTTGAAGAATGGAAGGGACAGCACACTGACAATTCAAAATCATGTCCATTTACCTCCCCTCATACACCAAGCAATAATTTTCAATCAATCTTACCACCACATGGAGGCACTCAATACCACAACCTGACCGATGTCCACGCTGAAATTCCGACTGACGCCACTACGCCGGAGATCCCCTCCGGAAGTGCCCCTAGCCCAGATCATAACTCCCAAAATAATTTGCCCAGACCCAGTCCTTCTAACCAATCCGTAATTTCCATCAACTCAGACCAACCTGACCAAGAACCGAATCCAAATGATCCCAATGCACAAATGCCAGGGGTTATGATCCCAGATCCCAACGTACCAGTCGAAGTACCGGTACCTGATGCCGATGATGACTTGTTTGCCGAAGCCGAGAGGGCATTTCATGTAACTGAAGACCAAGGATGGAAATTTGAGGTGAACATCAGTAACTATGACATCCACAAATGGAGAGAAGAAACAAAACCTCAAGAAATGGCCTTCCTGGTCTCAGCGGCAAAGAGACAGCGCAGTGAGGTCAAGTTGACCAACTTGACACCGGAGGATCGTGAAAAGTTCCAGCAAGCCAAATTGAAAGAAATCAATAGTTGGATCACCACTGAAACAATTGCTAAGATCACTCGAAATAAGATTCCCCGGGAAAATGTCATGCGTTGCAGATGGATCCTGACGTGGAAAGAAGTAGATGAAGCCTCATCCACCAATGTGTCCAAGAAGTATACCCCAAAAGCCAGATTAGTTGTACTTGGTTTTGAGGACCCTCAAGTGGATGCCATTCCGAGAGACTCCCCGACAATGAACAAATTGTCACGCACCATGATTCTACAGTTGGCAGCCAGCAACGCCTGGGAGATTCAAAGCTTTGACATCAAGACTGCGTTTTTGAGAGGTAGTGAACAGGATAATCGAATGTTGGGAATGGAACCTCCGGAAGAAATGCGTCAGAGGCTCAAGTTGAAACAACATGAAATTGTCCAGTTGTTGAAAGGCGCCTATGGGCGAGTGGATGCACCATACCTTTGGTTCAAAGAGCTGCAAGGGGCCTTGTGTCAGTTAGGTTTCATTCAGAGTCCGTTTGACCCCTGTTTGTTTACCCTTCCTGATCCGTCCACGCATGCCACCATAGGAATCTTAGGTATCCATGTGGATGATGGATTATGTTGTGGATCACAATTGTTTCAACAGAAGCTGAACCAGTTGGAGCAGAAATATCCGTTCGGATCAAAGAAAAAGACTGAATTCACGTTCACAGGCCTGAAGATCCAACAGAAACCAGATTACAGCATCGAAGTCAACCAAACACAGTATGTGAAGGACATCGCTGCAATCACTCTCTCTCGAGACCGCCGTTCTCAGTCTGAAGATGTAGTTTCAGAACAAGAGCGACAGGAGCTCCGAGCACTGATTGGAAGTTTACAGTATGCTGCTGTAAACACACGTCCTGATTTGTGCTCACGTCTGGGATGGTTGCAAAGCCGGATTAATACTGCCAAAGTTTCCACTCTCATTGAAGCCAATAGAACACTTCATGAAGCCAAACAACATGCATCCACTGCCATACACATACATCCGATTCCCCTCAAAGATCTCCGGTATGTAGCTTTCTCAGATGCCTCTTTTGCATCCGAAAAGAATCCAAGCTCCCATCAAGGGATGATCATTATGGCCGCCCACAAGAAAATTGGAGATAATGCCCAAAGCGTTATTAACCCAATAATATGGCACTCCAAGAAAATACAAAAGGTTGCCGTCAGCACGTTGTCGGCAGAGGCCATGGCTTTAGCTGGTGCAGTTGATGTTTTATCCTGGATACGACTGATGTGGGCCTGGGTCATTGATCACCGATGCAGATGGAAGCAAGCTGATGAGACACTTCTTCAGCTGCCACCAGCGTTCTCAGCTTTGCATCCGGAGGAAGAACCTCACGTTCCGATGCCTGAATCCGTAGAAGAGTTGATCAAGCAGTTGCCTTCAGAACAACAAGCCATTATCACCACAGATTGTAAGTCATTGTATGACCTGATCAACCGCACAGCGCCACCAGCGTGTACGGAATTCAGAACAATGCTGCAAGCAAAGCTCATCAAGGAGCATCTCCAAAATGGGATCAAAATCCGATGGGTGCCGTCAGGAGCCCAAATTGCAGATTCTCTTACAAAAGTTATGGACAATACCATATTAAGAACTTGTCTTCACAAGGGATTCTACAGTTTACATGATGAACAAGAAATTCTCAAGGCCAGATCGGATTCGAGATCGCGTCTACAGTGGCTTCAGTCGCAAGCCCCACTCTCCGAAAGCAGTGCAGTAACTCATGGAAAAGCCAAGTCGTCTATGAGTCAATCTCAGTTTGCAAAGATTAATTAAATAAGAAAAGGGGTTTTCCATAGTGATTTGAAGCGAAGGAAAATTTGCCTGAACATCAGATCCAAGAGAATCAGACAAAGGGGTTTTTTCATGTGCTTGTGGTTGCCTAGAAACCACCTTGAAGCTTGGCGACGAAGTTTTTCCAAAGTTCTTGGAGCACATGGTGAATAAAAATAGAATAGTACGACTGTGAAACCACTGCCTATTCACATGTGCCTGCCAGGGTCACCCATTCCACCATGCACTGCAGCCGGGGGTAGGCTCAATGCCTGCGTGAAGGTGGGAGGGTTTTTGCGCTTGAGCAATAGGCGCTATCAGTGACGCTTAGCGGAGAACCTTGTGGACATCACATTGGTTAGGTGCAGATCTGAGTGGCGTGGTACGGGGAAAAGACGCAGCAGCGTTTGCAGTTGCTCAGCAGGGCTGGGCGGGAGGAGGTTGGACAGCTACCTTTGTCAGTTTGACAATATGTATATATATATATAGTTCATATTTATATATATATACACCATATGTATATATATATATACATATCATATATATATATATATCATATATATAATTATATATCATACATATTTCATACATATGTCATATATATTTCATATACATGTCATATACATTTCATATATATTTCATATATATTTCATATATATATATGTATCATATATCGTATATATTTATATGTTTATGATCATATTTGATACTTATTGAAATATCATTACAAAAAAAAAATGACAAAAAGATATTAGTTTTATCCCAGCGAGTTATTGAAATATCATGAATCAATATATGCAGCAGCACGTCTCGACAATTTGGACAATTCCCCCATTGGAAAAAGCAAAAAATGATGTTCCAATAAAACATAGCAAATTCACATGAAAAAAACGTATATATGATTTAGACTATTTAAGATAATCTTCCCCTCTGCAAAAAAACATGGCAACTGATTCGCATTCCAACCTTTTCCAACGCCCTTTATCAAAGCGCCTTGCGTCTCCAAAAAATGTCGTCGCCAGGATGTGGGACATCCGGGCTATAACAACAACTTCCTGATCAATTTCCGGCATGACTATGCCATCACGTCCGGGAACCTGGTCCACCTGGCCCACAAAAACCGGTAGATTTTAAAGCAAGTCAAGTCGTAGACATGCACATAGACTTACTAAAAATAGTGATTTTCCATAGTTTTTTGTATGTTTACCAGAGGGTACATGATCACGTGTGTATATGTAGACATATATATATATATATGTATTTATACATTATTTCCCCTGTGCATAGTATATATGTTTATGTATGTGTGTGGTTTTTGTAAAAGTCATGCAGTCATGCATATATATATATATATACACATATGCATGTGTATATATACGATACATCTACATATAATGTATAGTATATGAACCATTCAGACATTTTGTTTATATATAGAGATACATATGAAAATCATCCAGACACACACATTTATCTATCTATATAACACTATATATATATGATTATATATCATAGAAAATACATGTATGACACTATACATATATTGTACATATATATTATACATACTATTTATCATCCATCCAGATGAGTGGAGAGGTACAGCGACCGCAGCGTTCTGGAGAATTTCCACGCGGCGGAGCTGATCAGGTTGCGGAGCTCTGTGCATTAGGGACATCGGTGGAGTTTTTCTGGTTGAGTTATGGTAATATATGTTGTTATGGTAATATAATTTAATGGTGAAACAACCACTGTTAAATAACCATTGTTTATATAAATAGTTATTACATCACTATTAAATGATATTCCATATGTTGTTTAACTGTGATTTGATGGAATTGTTCATGGTTTTTATTTGATGTCCTGGTGATTTAGCCTAGGGTTTTTAGCCATGGTCCTGTGAACATGATCTAATGGCTGATATTCCATATGTTGGTTTACCTTAGGGCATATGATATGTTATACACATATCTAGGTAAATTTCATCACGACCTCACTGTTCTCCCTCACTGGAAATCATGGTTTATGTTAGGGGAATCATCCCCAAATGGCCTTAATTCAGGTTCGTGAAATATTATAATTTACCCAGAAATATATGATGCTGGTCAAGTATATTGTACCTCTAGATGGAACTACTAAACGAAAGTACTGTAGCATACTTGTTGGCCATATTGTGTGAGGATATTTTTTTACATAACCCGGAAAAGTTGGCCTTATATGTGGTAGGTACCTCCAAGTTAGGTTTCTGAAATGGCCATTGACACAACAACCAGCAGATTAAGTTATGTGATCCATTAAAGTTGTACCCTTGTTGTAAGCCATAGTGGGGAAATCTATCAACCAACTCGTATAGTGAGCTGTGATAGGGGTATTTTTAATGGCTCATGTGATATATTACACAATTTATGATTACTCATATGATGGTGATTAAGTATATTATACTTCTAGATGGTTAAGTTTTGATTCTGTTATGTAGCATGTAGTGTGAGCTTATCCCTGAGTAGGTTTATCTCGATTGATATTGGGTATGTCTCAATCATATAATTGTGACGTTAATAAAGTTAGCGATGGTTTTAAGGCTGCTAATCCCATCCTGGTCCCAGGTGATGGAACAACCCCCACGATTTTCCATGGTTTCTTGGGGGTGACGAATTTTGGGAAGTGATTGACTATGGTTGGTTGCTTATAAACCATCATATCCCAATTCCCAATTGAATATACCCCTGTAAAAATCACTTTTTAATCACTGTTTTTGGTGGTTAAACCCCTCCATAACCTTTCCATATTGGCCATTTGGCCATTTTGAGGTTCACCATGATTAACCACTATACCATCAAGCATGATTAAACCACGATTAGCCAGTAGGGAAGGGATGATATTGGGGTTAACCACTGTAACAGCCCACAAACGAACTCTCCCCGCCGCAGGCTGCTCAGTGGGCAAGTGAAGGCCCATTGGTTTTGCTGTGGTTTCCCGCGCTTTCCCCATTGGGGATGGATCGTTCCAAGCTATGAAAAAACCATAGTTGGATTCTAACTCCCATGAACGTTCATCGTTCCGAGTATCATAGTTTTTGGAGTACTGTGAACCCCAATTTAGCTATCGAAATAGGCCCCACTTTCTACATATTTGGAGGGATGAACATCTATTTGCTAACTTTTTTGGTGTGAACGGAAAAGTACTGAGCGGCCAAGAAATGAAACTCTAAACATGTCATCATAATTCATAATATATAATCCAGAATGAGTTTTGGAGGAGTTGAAACGTCAACAGTACAAGATTTGAAGTTGAAACATTAAGGACTATCCATAGTGTGTCTCAAACTGGATGATTTCTTTCCAACCAGATGGCCATCAAAACAGATGACTTTTTTCATGTTCGAAGCCAAGAGATGTTTCAAGATTCATGAAGGTTTGCTAGCATCATGGAAAGACATTCAACGAAACAATAATAGTAATAGTGGTAATAATAGTTAATATGATGGCTGCATATCTTCTTATCATCATTGATTTTAGACTCACTTTTTTGGCTAACAGGACGTCGTCTCATTGTGTTGTGTCTTGTATAAACTTTGACGTGGCAGCCATCAGTTGTGCATCTGGTAGAAGCCATAAGAGTAATGTAGGCTGTTATTTGTATGAGGACCACAGCAGGGTAATGGAGTCATTCAGCAACTGGTCAGATAAAAATTGGCTGTTTTTTTGTTGCCCACCAACTGTAGGCTTTAATCTTCGTCATTTTTCAGTGTCATGTGATGGGGTCCTGTCTCATTGGTGGCTCGTTTTTGGGCGCACAAAAATCCCTGGGTTTTTACAGCGTAAAATTTGCCTTGATAGATCGAGCCGAATGCTGTGCCGTTTTTGGTGGATGTTTGTTTGTAGTACCCTCTCGTAAACATACAAAAAACGATGGAAAGATCCACCACGCTATCAATAGGTAAATTCACGAATTAAATGGTCATTTTCAATAGCTATGTTAAATTACAAGGGGGTACAGATTCAACATAGCTATGGAAAATGGCCAAGCAAAAAATAATTTTCCCATTAAAACCTCCATTTATAAGGGATTTTCCATGGCTATGTAACAAATTACCAGAGGGTAAAGTAGATATGCAGTTTGGCCAGGTATGTTTCGTCATGTTTCCCAGTTTTAAAGCGGCTCTTCACTGCGCCAGGGAGTGAACTTTCTGGGCGGCTTGCCTGAACAGCAGCAGAAGCAGGTGCGACACGGATCACTTCCCCAGCTCGAGCGGGGTTTCGTGGTTCACCTGGATCCCCAAGTCACCATACAATGTGGGGCCCCCAAGATCGCTAAGTTGGTTTATAACTCCAATAACTATGGTTTATGGTAGATATAACTATAGTTAATGGGGATTATCATGGTTTATAAACCAACTTATAACTGGGGGGCCCCATCCTGGAGGTACCCCTTTAATTTTAGGAAACCAATGGAAACCACCAAACCACTATCAGGGCAATGTTCTGCCGCACTGCGGCGTAGAGGATACTGTATGGATTCTGTTCAGCCAATGGAACCAAGATCATCCATGTACATGGGATGTTGTGGGTCAGGGGCAACAAATGTGGCTTGATGGTGTTCGCCTCCTTTGCGGGTCCCAGCCGCATGAGAAAGCACGTCGAGAGATTTTATCCATGTGAAAAAGCATAGGGTATGGAAGTGGATGGGTCAAAATGGCTATCTGTAGCTGGCATTTCTCGAAAGTATGGTAGTTGTCCAATTTTTTTTGCTGCACCTATGCCCTCAACCCCAAGATGAGTGAAAGAAAGTTCTCTGGGTTGATGATACCAGTTATACCCTTGATTATACCCTTGATTGGGTTATAGATTTAATACAGTTTATAACCTACTGTGGATGGAAGAACTCCGAATCACCAGTTGATAGGTGGTAAATATCCCATTATTTATAGGGGTTCAACCATCCTTTTGGTGGTGCAGGATTTCTTCCATCCATTTTACTAGTATGTCTAAAACCTATGTTCATTTCTTGCCATGCACTGGCCTTTACTAATTTACCAATCCGAATGATGTTTTTTGAGCCCTGTAAGGTGCCAATTTCAGATGCACGGCTGGATCCCCCAGGGATTTCCAGTAATCTCAAGTGATTTTATACTATGACACTTGATAATATATATATAATATATAATATATATAGTAATTCAAAAGTAATCACGAGTCAGTTTAGATAGACATGTTGTAAGATAGTGTTCCCCAGTTTGGGGATGTAAGTAGTGACATTCTTATGAATCCAACATTTTATAACCATGATTGTGTTCCCCTGTAATGGAGAAAGTGGTTTTCTTATATCCATCCGCTTACCGCACTATCTTTATTACCGTCCCGCACAAACCGCAGGAACGTTTTTGGATGACTTCGCTGATCCTCAACACGGATATGTCGAAGTTGATGCAGGCGGGATGACAATGGTCCCCTTTCACCAACAATGGAGAGATGAACAAATCACCAATAGATACAGGATGGGCCCCCCCAGTTATGTTTCTTACTTTATAAAGCCCATGAATACTATAGTTATATCTACCATAAACCATGGTTAAACCACTTATAAGTAACTGAACGCTATCTTGGGGGCCCCATCCTGTACGGATGTGTTCTCAATGGCAATCATGACTTGCTTCACCGCGAAGTGAATGACGCGAGAGCTGTGAAACATGAGGATTTTCTCAACTATCGAGTTTGGGGAATTCCACAACATGTTTTCCCCACATTTATGATCATTTATGATGTATTTTACGATAGACATTTCATATGATACATAATAGTTGTTTTGATGCCTGTATATATACATACCGCTAACAAATACCTAATAAATTTGCATTAGAATGAGCATGATAATCATAAGTTCTAGCACAACCATAACATACCCACAGCAATCATGGTTTGATTCATGAATATCCCTTCATATCTGCGTTATGTCCCAATATATCCCAAACACATTAGCTAAACCCATATCCCAACAACATCGCACACAAAAAGGTCAAAATTTCCACTGCATCTTTTTGAGGGTTACTATTAGCTTTGTTGACTTTTCAAATATGGTATTAGCTAATAGATATCCTTCCAAAACTCTTAAGACTATTCTGAATATTCTCATATCACATTAGCTAATCCCCCCAACAGAAACATTGGTCATATTCTGTATAAAATGTATAAATCACAAAATCCCATATAGAATATAGAAACAAAAACAAACAAAAAAAACCATCGTCAAGTTCCATTGATTCCATTGCCATTGTCCCAGCCCAGTCGTCCGCCACCAGGACCTCAGCGCTCTTCGTATGAAGATCAGCTCTGGTACCTTCGCCATGGAAGATGTGGCGGATCAGCAGCTGGTGCCGTGGTCGTTGTTGGCGGATCAGCGCCGATTTTTTTTTGGGGGGAGGACAGGATGGTGTATTTTCATGGGAGGATAAGAGAATCTTTATGATGTGACAAAAGAAAGATTGGATTATATATTATATATTGGAATATCCCATAAATGCATCATAAAGATGGCATTTATGGGATAGATGGAATAGTCATGAGATATTTCTGACGTATCTATGGCATATTTATGGGATATGGAATATGTATGATACATCATCCCCAATGACTCACCATCAACCTGTGGAATTGAAATCATCCCCATGTGGCAGTTCTTTATGGCATGTGATTTGCCGCATTATCCATCATTCTCCAAAAATCTGACAAGATTTGTGAGGATGTGTCCTTTTGTATGATGTTCCTATTAGCAAAAACCCATAGTCTATAAAACCATTAACCATGAACCACTAACCATTTGACCAAAAAATAGCATGAAATCATTTGATGCTATGGGTTTACGGTTTATGGTTAATGAAAACCATGGTTAACCAAGGGGTGGTTAACCATCAAAAACCACCATTAACCATTTAGCCATTATAACCAGTATAACCATTAAACCATGGCTGGTTTTTGAACATGGTTTAATGGTTATAATGGTTTTTGGCTAAATAAAAAATCCATCCATAAAAACATCTAAAACCATCCATAAAACCATCCATAAAACATCTAAATCACCATTTGGGTTGGGCGCCGTCGAGACGACCAGTGAGACTTCATGGCTTGGAATTGGTTTCCAAAGAATCGGAGGATTAACCGTTGGAAATGGTACTTTATTAATGCCTGGTTGGTGGTGACTGGAACCATGGAATTTTTGATGACTTTCCATATGTTGGGAATAATCATCCCAACTGACTTTCCATATGTTGGTCATGATTCTGATGATATTTGATCCTTGAATAATACTGGTTGGTGGTGTGGAACATGAGTTTTATGACTTTCCATTCAGTTGGGAATGTCATCATCCCAACTGACGAACTCCATCATTTTTCAGAGGGGTTGGTACAACCACCAACCAGAATACCATCCCTCTTAAAAAAACAACAGCCCCCTTTCGAAAGGTCCCAGTCGCATGTAGTTTTCATCCCCTACACCATGATAATTCTGAAACCGTAAACATGGTTGGCAGACAGGACTATCCATCATGCACATAGCAGTAAACCAAGGTATAAACCAACTTAGCAAAAACCTTTTTATGGTTTGATGGTTATAATGGTTAATGCTATAAATGGTTAATTTATGGTTATTGTTTATGATTGTTATGGTACTTAGTACTAGTTGGTTTACTATTTGGTACTAATGGTATAAACGGTTATATTGTATACCAATGTACCAAGATGTAAAAACCAATGTACATACTTACCTCATGGTATACTATACTATGCAAAAACCTCCTTTTGTATAGCAATGTACCAACTTAGTGATCATTAATGGTTTACACCATACATATAAGCATACATTCATATATAACGTGTATTAGTCTTACTGGTATCATATGTACCATACATCCATACTTCCATGCCTCATGGTACTTATCATACATCCAATGTATAACAATGGATTGGGTATAACAAAAAATAACATAACGAACATAGATGGATTAGTTTACAACTTGACAGGTGTTTTTTACCTGTCATCAGATTCCAACGAACTACCTATAGTTGTTTCTAAAGTCATAATTTCAATACATCAAGATACTCACTTTCCAACACCATTTGGAAAATCCAGGAAATGACCATAGACAACTGCACTAGGTAGAATTCCATACAATAGGTAAATTTCTAAAACCATATGGGGGTTCCTAAAATAGTGGTACCAAATTTCATCATCCAGTCGTCATGGATGACCGGATGACCATGACTGAGTATTGAAACAACCTGCAGGTAACGACTGGAGATCTATGACTTAAGAAACCAACCAGGAACCACTGCGACCTCACCGGAACCATGGGAATCATCACGGAAATTATGCCCTTTTATGGCCGCAACTTTCAGGTTAGTGAATTTTTCTAATTTGCCCATCTATATGTATATATATATCCCATGACGGATCCATGGTGCTGCTATATATGGTGTGCCATGGATCCCATCTTTATATATCCCCTTTATGTTAGCATTAATATACCAGCACCATGGATCTTATGGGTAATGAATGACCTGTGATTTCCTACTAACCGAGCAGTATTTCAATGTATTTCAATGTTTAACACATGTTTAACACATGTTTTTCGCGAAAAAGTTCAGGCTTCACCTGGATTCCAAACGCACCGCGCCGCGCCTTAAACGGCGAGAAAGGTCATGGGCTGGCTGTTTCGCTCTGCCGACATCGGTCATTCCGCGAAGCCTTGGAGCATCCACGAGGCGAAGAAAATAAGGGATTTTTCTATGGGAAAATCAGGGTTTTCTATGGGATTTTATGGGATTTAATGGGATTTTATAGGATTTTATAGGATTCCTGTGGGAAAATACGGGTTTTCTACAATGTGGGGCCCCCCAGTTATAAGTTGGTTCCAGTTGAACACCTGTTGAATGATGAAAATCCTCCCAAAAGACACCCTTCGGAAAAACGCAGGTCACTATGATCACAATCGCGTTTCTTCACTTCCGTCTTATCCTTTGAATTCGAAAGCAGAGCGTTCCTTGTTTTTTGTACAATGCGAGGCCCCCCAGTCATGTTTGTTGGTTTATAAGCCCCAGTAACTATAGTTATAAGTACCATAAACCATAGTGATTGGAGTTATAAACCAACTTAGCTATCTTGGGGGCCCCACATTGTATGGGACTTGAACGGTGATTTCATTGTATTTTCTATGGGAGTTAAACGGGATGAGCTTTAGAGGAGTTAAATGATTGGATGGGATCTACCCTGGATTCATAACAATAGTTCCATAGCCAAGAAAGCAGTAGTTAACAATAGTTCAACATAAGAAACATAAGTTAACTATTATAGAACTATGATGAACTATTATAGAACTATTATTACTATCATAAGTTCAACATAATAACGATAACAATAGTTTAACCATTCCAAAAAAGTGTAACCATTTTATTATATGTTGCAAAAACCATTGTTAACCATAAACATAATTCAACAGTGGTTAACAACTGTGGATTCGTCGAGTCGATTCTTGGCGTTTTCTATGGGGAAATCATCACCTGAAAAAAAGGTATAACTGGTCTATTTTGATGGGCCATTTAAGCCATAGTATTTACCCTCTGGTTATTTAACATAGCCATGGAAAATCACCATTTTTAATAGGTAAAACCATCTATAAATGGGCCATTTTCCATGGCTATGTTAAATAACCAGAGGGTAGTTCAGAAAATAGACTAACTTGCGGACGAGTGCGTTACGACGAAGGGTCAACAGTTGATATCACGTTAGAAAATATTGGTTTGATATGACGGTATGACGGTCATGTTAATAGTGAAAATGATCCTGGCAGCATACAGTCGTTGCAAGTACAGTATATACATGATATTATTGGATGGCCCAATTTCACATGCTTACTGACCGTGGTTTTTATTTGACATAGCCATGGACTCCATGCCTCATGATCCTCATTTAGTTGGATGATGTTCCTGTTCGAAATGATGATTCTCCATAGCTATATCATTATATGAAATTACCAGAAGGGTATCCACCAAGAAATTGTAAAATAGTGTCAACTGCATCATTTGTCAATTGGTGAAACCCTACAGAACGATGATGGCTCACGGTAAATCGTCAAGAACTGCAATGATTACTATATGATTACTGCAATTGATTGGTCCATTCAATTCTGAAATCGAGCGTGTTCAAAAACTCCGCTTGAGTTATTCAAGGGTGATTTTGCATGAATTAATAGTAATTTCTAGGGTTTAACCGTCAGAAATATGGGAAAAGAATTGACAAATCACGGTTGTGAAAAAATAACGCTTTTCGCTGTTTATGAAATAGCGCGTAAAACGACCTGGTTCGTTGGGATAGTGTAAATAATCCACTTTGGCTGGATTGGTTCGTTCTGTTTTGGGACACTACTTGAAAAAAGGGAAATGATGATAGAAAGCGCCGCCTATTTGTAATCCAGATTAGATTGGTGGTTTCAAAAGTTAAAAACAGGCTTTATCCAAAAATAGAGATGATGCTTCTCCTTCCCACATGGGCTACATTTGCACGTATGCATGCTGTGCAGATGCACCACTTTCACATGCCACCATCATCGCTCAGCTGGGCCCGCATCGCCAGGCTTGGTCGATGAGAGTCGTCCAGGAGTTTCATGCACAAGGCGATAGAGAGATCCAGTGACCAGCCAGCACTGCGGAGGTGAGGTGATCTCTATGGGTGAAAGAAAGTTTTAGATGTTGACCATGCAGAGGATGTTTGATAGAATGAGCAGTATGCATTTCCATGGTGAATCTCCAAACAAAAGCGGCGTCCAAGCAATCTGGCTTTCGCTTGAGCCATTTTTGGGCTCCAGGCACTTGTACCCGGCGTTTTTGATCGTTTTTGTTGAAACTTAGATCTCCTATAGCATGTCAGGTTTGATGGCCCTGCCCCTTGCTGCCCCTGCCGTGCCCTCTGCACAGACCACCGGCCTTGCCTCTGTGGCCCTTCCCTCAGCCGCTCCCACGGCCCCACGGGCAGCGGCGCCAACGGCCGCAGCCGCGGTGGGCTTGGCCGCAGTGGCCGCGGGGCGACGCACGGCGAGGCAGCCCCGTGGTGGCTTCGCTGGCGCCAAGGTCACGCTGGATGTGAAGGGCACGGCTGGCAGGTCGCTGAGCGATGCCCGGGTGGTGGTCTGTGCCGGCGTCACCTTCCCGGAGGGGCGGAAACTCCGTGTGGCCGTGGTGGGAGGTGGTCCGGCTGGTGCAAGTGCGGCTGATGCACTCGCACAGCAGGGAGTGGAGACCTTCCTGATTGAGAGGAAGATGGACAATTGCAAGCCTTGTGGTGGTGCCATTCCTCTTTGTATGATCGATGAGTTTGACCTCCCCAAGGATATTGTTGATCGCCAAGTGCGCAAGATGACCATGATCTCACCCACCAACAAGGAGGTTCAGATTGGTCAGACCCTGAAGGATGACGAGTACATCGGCATGGTGAGACGTGAGGTGCTTGATGACTTCCTAAGGCAACGTGCCAAGAAGAACGGGGCCACCTTGATCAATGGCCTCTTCATGGGTATGACTCTTCCGGAAACCTGGCTTCTTCGTCGGTGACTTCCTTTGATTTCCTGGGAAATCCAGGGGAAATCGTGGTGGGAGGTTGGTTGTGATCCTGCTCCAAGATGTCGACCCCAGATTAATCGACCCTTAGGGCCTTAGTAGGGATCTTTTTTCAACATGGCCCCATTTCTTCCTGGCTTGAGAACCAGGAAAAGAAGGGTGACTCCTACGTCATGACCTACAACGACTATGACGGTGAGGAGGGCAACGCACGAAAGGGAGAGAAGAAGACCTTGGAAGTGGATGTGGTGATCGGCGCTGATGGGGCCAATAGCCGTGTGGCTAAGGACATCGAAGCTGGAGACTATGAATATGCCATTGCCTTCCAGGAGCGCATGCGCATTCCGGAGCAGAAGATGGATTACTATAAGGACCGAGCAGAGATGTATGTTGGTGACTGGCGATTTCCACCAATTTTATCCCTTTGGTTTGTGCGACATTTCAATATTTCATTTCTATGGCAAAATATGTTTTGTGGAATGAGAAAAAATGATGAACCTCACTTCAATAACTTGATTTATTAGGGCATTACTGGTTGGTGGTTTGGAACATTTTTTATTTTCTATGATATATGGGATAATCCTTCCCATTGACTAATATTTTTCAAGATGGTTAAAACCACCGCCCAGATAATAAACCGTCCCTCATTTCACCATCAATGGGTGGTAAAAACCATCAAAAATTGGGATGGTTTATTGATTATTAACCATATTAATGAGATTGATAAATATGAATACACCACAGATAAATAGACCCACTATTTATAATAATCCGTGAATATACAATATTATACATCTAATGAAGCATACAATTCATATAGTACAATTCTATTCCATATATAAGAGTTTTGTTGACATTAAATAAACCATTCCGATAATGTCCAGAAACCACAGATTCCATATACGGACAACTCAGGTGAAGATGTCTCCCCTGACTTCTACGCTTGGGTCTTCCCCAAGTGCGATCATGTGGCAGTTGGCACTGGCACAGTGGTGGACAAGAAACTGGATCAAAAAGCCAAAAAAAAAGAGAGTTTTGCTGTGTTTTACTGGGTTATTGACTATAGGTGGATGCCAAAAGACTGATGTAGCGAGGTGTTTTTGTTGGATCAACAGCTCTAAATTCACAGTGGTCAACTTTTTCAGCCCCGGATCCGATCCAAGGAAGGGCATCCAACGCTACCAACAGGGCATCCGCGATCGTGCGGCCACGCGCATTGAGGGAGGCGACATCATCCGGGTCGAGGCTCACCCCATCCCGGAACATCCTAGGCCCTGGCGTGTCGAGGATCGAGCCATCTTGGTGGGAGATGCTGCGGGGTATGTGCCTTGGAGATGAGCTAGGTGCCCCAGTAAGGAATCGCGATAGTCACGACATGTCACGACTGGTTTTGGGGTGTAATTCTATAATAAATATGGGGTTTATGGATGTTTATGGTAGATATCAGTTAGTGATGGGCACCACCTTGTATCCCTAAGTTCATTTTCTGTGCATGTTTGGTTCTAACAGATAGGATGATTCGTGGCTTCTAAGCCACATCGATGGTCAAGTTTTCAGGGGGAGCGACCCGCTCCAAGGTGACCAAATGCTCTGGAGAAGGCATCTACTTTGCGGCCAAGAGTGGGCGCATGTGTGCGGAGACCATCGTGAAGAATTCCCAGCAGGGATCTCGCATGATCGATGAGGCTGACTTGATGGAGCACCTGCGTGAGTGGGATGGTCACTTGGAGTGAATTGAGCAACTGCGAAACCCCTGTTGATGATTAATTATGGGGATTATACTAGCCTTCATATATTGGGGATTATAATAAGTAGCGAAATCCCTATTAACCAACCAGTATAATATTAATTATAATGCAATGACAGATTTTGAACATTGCTCAATTGAACCTTCTGAAGAATACCATTGTTGATTGGTTACAGAATACATGATGTGACCTGGTAAAAAAACCCTTGGGGATTCTCATAATTTAGGGAATCCCTACAGTATCGACCAACCAGTTTTTTATGGGATGGGATAGGCTATTTAGAAATATTTAGAATAGACGAAGTTTAATGGATCAATTGTTGTGTCTGATCTCTGACTATCCCTGATTCATCGTATTCTCCTTGAAATTTAACACGTTCGTTACCTTCTGGTAATTTAACATAACTATGGAAAGATCCACCATTTTCAATGGGAAAATCCACTATTTCAATGGTCATTTTCAATAGCTAGTTTGACAAATTACCAGAGGGTAAGTTGCTATGACTTCAGTCTCCCAATAGTTCATCATGACTGGAGAATCTCTGATGTTCCCACTAATGATGCAGGGGGCAATGAACATCCCAGATTGCAAACTAATTTGATGGGATCCTTGACTCCCTGACCAAATGCTGGGGTCCCGCAAATCATCCATTTTAGATTGGGATTTTCCATGAAATACACCATCCAGCTACTGGGGTACCCCCATAAAAATGGAAACCCCAAAATCAATCATCGCTGTTGAACAGGCAAATATGGCCCAACGTATTTGGTACTCGACCTGCTGCAGAAGATTTTCTACACCAGCGATGCTGCGCGTGAGAGTTTTGTGGAATTGTGTGAGGAGGAGTATGTCCAAAAGGTGGCCCGTCGGGCCATTTTTCTCGTGGTTTTTATGGTTGAATGAAACATGGCTACCATGGCAACCATGGCAACCACCGAAGCTTTTCGTGTTTGGAAAACTTGGAATTGAAATTCACCATTTCAGTTTGTGATGATTTCCTGCATCCGGATTGCAGTCCAGGTGACATTTGACTCATACCTCTACAAGACCGTGCAAGGGAACGATCCTGTTGGTGATTTGAAGCTTGGCTGGAAAACTTTGAGCTCCTTGTACAAGTACAAGAATCAGAAGACGCCAGATCCCATGCGAACTCTTGTCTAGGCAGGAGGGTGACGCCATTTGTTTTTCATGTGACAAGATGGGTAGCGGTTACCCTCCAGGGTCATCAAGCAAATGGTAAGCCATTGACGAACGGGCGATGTTAAAAAAGCCATGTTTGATTGCCAGAGGGTATAGATTTTGTCTATGATTTGATCGATTTTGTGGCCCAAGTATGGGCCAGTATGGGCCAGTGGCTGTGTACAGCTTTGTAGCTGCGACGTCATCCAGCCTATCTATTTCACATACCCTCTGCTTATTTAACATAGCTATGATGTATGATGAATTACCATTATTTACCTGTTAAAAATTGCGATTTTCCATACGTTAAATTACCAGAGGGTATCCTATAGAATCTCTATCTGTTTTCCGTAGCAAACAACTCCGGCAGGGACAAGCGGTCAGTCCATGTCCCTTCCAAGACTTAAGCCCCGTGTTTCAAGCCAGGGCTAGCACCGAGACAAAAAAAGGGTGTGCTTCAAGTTTAGCAGGAAATCAACCCATAAAACTTCTAATAGTGATATAATAGATTTTAATAGTGATAATATGGTTTAAGCACAAAGAATGGGGTATATCAACTAAATCGTGTTTCTGGTTTCAATCATGTTTCATCCAACTTCTTTCCCATATCATATACTGTATACAGAGATATGTAATGATATGTATATATATACACATACATACACATACATATACATACACATACATGCATATATATAATATAATATAATATGGGTATGGATCAATACCTATTAATACCATTTTTAGGGGGATGAACATCCATTTACCAGCTATTTTGATGTTCACCAGGGGTACAAGGTTTTGACACACTGCCATATATATATATATAGGATCCCCATGTTTGTTGATTCATCCACCATTTCTATGCCAGATGATACCCCAAGTCGCCATGTCCCGCTTCTCGCCATGTCCTCGCCCCAGGTTGGGTCTGCCGGTGTCGCCCTTGTGCGATCGGACGGACTTCCGGTTGGGAAAATCGCAGGCATCGCGGTCTCACCGACCAAAAATGGGGACCAAAAATGGGGACCAAAAATGGGGACCACCTATGACTGGGAATGGTACACATACCACCTATAGAAATGGTGATTTATTGTTGTTTTATCCCAATTTATTGTTTTATAATGTTTTATACCACCTATTGGTGATTCGGGAAATGGCTTCTTGTTGTTTGATCCCATGAAATTTGCAGTGTTCCATAGTTACGAACGGTTGACCAACTGTGGCGACAAACTAATCCGTCGTCTTTTGGTATCAATGGGACTATCTAAGATTGGCCATGAAATGGAGCTTTAGCCTCACCAACATACTTGTAGGGATGGAAAATGGTCGTTTTTTTGGGGGGGCTGAATGGGGAAAACAATGAATTTCATGGAAGATCATGGAATATAACTAACCAACAATATGATATAACTGTTGAAAAGTGGGGATATATTTAATGGGATGATCCTTCTGTGAAATCGAGCATGGTGACATGGTGATTGCTGGGTTTCCTCACCGAAGTCCATGGAGGTTTCGTTCGCTGGGAACATCATAGAACGAAATTGGGAAATTCTATTGCCATCTTTGATCACCTCAGTCAATGGATTGGTTTAAGGGAAAATTTACTGGTTTAAGCCCCTTTTTTTTAATGGGAAAATCGATGGTTTCCGGTTAAGATTTTCCCGTGAAAACCAATCCATTACCTCAGGGTAGAAATACTTAAATGGACCATTGAGTCAATCAACTGATTATTGACTGGGTTATTGACTGGCTTATGTCCCAGTGTCTTTTGGCTAAGCCATAATTATTAGCCAGCTATTTCCAAAATGGCCAATCCAAGTACATGAAAAATGCGAGCGGGACTCAGCGGGACTTAACCAACTTAACCAACTGGACCCACTGTAGGGATATCACTCACTGTAGTGTTCACAGTTTTGACCCACGTACTTACCAAAATGTTGGAGGTAACATGCCAAAATATATGTGTAGATTGAGATGATTGAGATGACTAATGGTCTAGCTGTCCATCACTTATGTATGTTGAAGCCAGTATTGACCCCTATTTGGATAGTGAAGCTATCATTTTGTGAGCCAAAAGCCTCAAAAGTAAGGGTCACTTGGTTTCCAGCTACACATTTTATATTGATGGGCCGAAATTGCTGTACTCTTTTGTGAGGGCTCCTTTTCTTCACCGCTCAGGCTGGCTTTCTTCAATTTGTTTGTAGCAACCTCAGCAAATGGGTACCCTCTGGTAAACTAACATAGCTATGGAAAATCACCATTTTTTATGGGAAAACTCACTATAAATGGCCATTTTCAATAGCTATGTCTACCAGAGGGTAACATCCAGGCACCCTCAATCAAACGAGGCTGGAAACTCCGCTATAAATGGGATGTTTCTCAGCAAACTGTTGGTTTACTGGAGGGCATTTCAGCTTTCTATACATGTCTGGTGCTTTCAAGCTCTTATCAATCATGATGTCCAAAACCTCTATCTGGAAAATTCTGTCGCTTTGTGGCCATAAGTTGCACTTCTAGGCTTTTGTATATGACAGTCAGATTTGTAAATTTGCGGACCATGGTGCACTTTGTGTCCTGCTTTAACTTCGGCTTTTCCATCCTTTTCCTGCAAGAGATGCCAAGAATTCATGGTCAGAGTTCCACTCTGATGTGAAAAAAGAATTAAACATCGAAACGCATCGAAACGCCGAAACTGCCAGTTGAGTTGTGTCAGCTGTGTCAGGTCTTCCAACTTTCTTGGAGATCAAAAATTTAGAAGAGCTGCTCTGCGAGGACTGACCTCACATGGCCATGGAAACCATGGGAACCATGGCATGAACGAGATGTCCCAAAACCTGTTGGGTACATCTCCAAAACCTGGTGGTACCCTCTGGTAATTTGATACATAGCTATTGAAAATGGCCCATTTATAGTGGATTTACCCATTGAAACTGGTGATTTTCCATACTTATGTTAGTTACCAGAGGGTATTTTTTTCAGTGTATCTAAGATTAGCCATGATTACAGTATCCATCATCACGAAAACCTTAGAGTGCGGGCTATCCACGCCTCACTCTCCAGACATGGCAATCCGAAGCCCAAAAATCCAAAACGAAGCTCTGAGGGACCCATTGGACAGAGCTATGGGACGGTATTTCTTTTCGCCATAGGATCTATGTCTTGGTATGCTGGCATGATGATTCAAGCGTCGATTCCAGAGATTGAAACGTCTAGACATGAATTGTTCTTGAATTCTGTTTGGAAAAAAGGCATCAGAGTTGCAATGTTTAACTCCGGGTCCTACTGCGGAAGAAATCCTGCACCAGTTGGTAGATGATCAAAATACCATTATAGTACTGTATATTGCAGTCCTATATCTACTGTTGGTAACTATGAAACACTGTAAATGGGATTATCACGGGATTTTGCCCATCTGCCAACTGGTGCAAGATTTCGTCCACAGATACGCACCTCCAGGACGAAAATGCGTCCAGCACCCAGCGCCCAGCCTGGCCCAGATGTGTTTGGGGATAGAAAGAATTTAATGTACAGTCCGGAAGCAAAACATTGCCATGAAATGCTTCCTGTTGGTGAATTCAACTACTAAATTATTATTCATGTGAATTCAATCATTATCATTCATTATGTTTTTATCGTTCTTTGTTTTTCCACCAAATGCTGATAACCCAAAGATTAAAAAAAACATTCATGTTAATTCAATCACTATCATTATCATTCCTTATATTTTCCACAAAATGAGTACAATTCCAATCAATACAAGGCATGATGATTGATGTCGCGGTGTTGCTGATTATTGATGTTGATTAATTCCTTGTTTTAATAATTGTATCATTGGTCAATGATCAATGAACCAGCAACCAGCAATCAGGTGTTCATCCCAGTTTCCTCCTAGGCCAACCATCCATAAGATGAAAAGTCAGGCGGGTGTTGGCCAGCGAATGCCGACCAACCCCCATGTTTTGCGGTGGTTTATATTGGAAAAAAAAATCCAAATATTGTGTTGATGAATGTTTCTAATATGACATATATTTACATAATAATTATTATTAATAATAATAATCCCCATGATGGTTTCATATGTCATCATTATTTCGGACTTGGGAGTTGTTATATACACAATTTGCCCAGATCCTTTGGTCAGTCACACTGCCGTTGTGATATGTTCAAGCAACATATGAAAGCTGCTTCAGACATCAACACTGGCTGCAATCATATTCTTGGTGATTGCATGTTTTGAATTTCCATATTTCTTGGGACTATTTGCAGTGTCAAAATGTTGTTTCTTTTTTTCGGGATTTGGATGATTTGGCATGGGTCGAGCGCAACAACCAGTGATTCGCTTCCCCATATACGTCATGTTGACCCCGAAGCCATCCCCCACTTGGATTGACATACCAGTTTTTTTTGTTAATGGGATAAATCATGATAAACCCCTGTTATACATACAGTATAATAGCTGGATAAAACATGGAAAAGTAATTTACCACTATGTTGGTAGTATATTTTGCCTTTCTGTCTTTTTTGGGAGTTCTAGCACGTCTGAAAATGGGGTATACCCTCTAAATGACCAACTCAATGGGGATGTTGAAAATAGTTCATTGGAATTAGGTCTACCCTATTTTTAGACAAAGCCATATTAATGCCATTAGATTGTCCAGTACTGTCCATATTAGATCCATAATATACTTCTTATACAAGTACTGGAGTTAGATTAGATCAATATTAATGTCCATTGGTTCGATCCATAATATACTGTCCATATTAGATCCATATTAGATCCATACTTTTTGTTAACTCCGGTTCATACTCATGCTGCGGTCAGGGCAGTGGAATTGGAACGAACACCAGTTCTATGCTGTCGCCACCCATGGGCAAAAGCAGGTGGCTGTTGGGCAAGTTGGGCATGGCGCTGCTGTTGGGGATGGGGCTGGCGGGCGCCACGTGGCGTTAGATGAGAAGAAAAGGTGACCCACGCTTGAATGGCCAGAATGGTGCATGGGACAAATCTATATGTATATATATATATATATCTATTATAGAGAGAGAGAGAGAGCTGTTTGAAGCTGGCCATGCTGAATCTGACAAAGATCTATGCTGAATGGAGCGATTGAGATCCAGCTTGACACCAAAACACTTGGCAGATCGGGCATCAAGAAAGGATGGGGCATGCAACCCAAGTCGAAAATAAATGAAACACATATGAAACAAAGCATCCATAGATTCCTCACTTGTGGTTGGCTTG